ACTGTTTTGACATGATGTTCACTTCTAAATGAGGCTACTAACCATTTTTTCTTATAAATATTTTTTGATGAAACTTTGGGGATATTCCAATCTCCAAAATCGACATTGTCGTCTGTTTGAAATTCTAATTTTTGTTCTTCATTAACAATATCTGGTATAGTTCCTAGATTTGATCTAGAGCTAGTGCTGGCCATTGAATTAGATCTAAATAATCTACTCATGAAGTTCACAAAACAATCAAACAAAATACAGAAATCTTATATGCTTCACCTTCCTCGCGTATTAGCTAAACTCCTTCCCCGCTCATACGATCCGTTCATGCCTCTCCTGGGACTTATTGTTTGGAATACGCCTTACTGTTTGGTTGGGGAGTTGAACAAACGTACTTAGAAGATTAACAGATAAGATAAATTGTTAGTCGAAAGACTGAATTTAGAACTTAACTTATGGATTAGATATATGCTAATGCAATTACCACTCACTTGGCTCTGATACCAAATGGTATTCTAAAATCAAAATAACAATTGAAGATTTTCAATTAGAAAGAATTGCTTTGATAGATTCGGGAGCAGACTTGAATTGTATTCAAGAAGGATTAATTCCTACTAAATATTTTCATAAGTCATCAGAAATACTTAGTGCTGCAAACTAATCACCAATGCAATTAAAATACGAAATACCCAAAGCACATGTTTGTCAAAATGATGTTTGTTTCAAAACCCCATTTGTTTTAATTAAGAACATTTCAGATCCAGTTATTTTAGGTCTTCCATTCTTAGCACTTTTATATCCTTTTAAAGTCCATCATAATCGTATATCCACTAGGACATTAGGACAAAAAGTAATATTTGAGTTCTGTACTGAAACAGATCTCAGAAAACTTAGACAACTTCAAAGAGATAGTATCTCAAAATCCATTAATTTAATTCACAATAAATCACAACAAATTAATTTCTTAAAAGAAGAAATTAATCACAAAAGGATTCAAGAACAACTAACAAATAAAATTTTGTTAGAAAACATTGATAAATTTCAGAAGAAACTTATTAATGAAATTTGTTCTGATATTCCCAACGCCTTTTGGCATAGAAAACAACACATAATCAAACTTCCTTACAATAAGGATTTTGATGAAAAGAAAATCCCAACCAAAGCCAGACCAATTCAAATGAGTCAAGAAGTTAAGGAATTATGCAAAACAGAAATCCAAGAACTCCTTAATAAAGGAATAATTAGAAAAAGTAAAATCACCATGGTCTTGCCCAGCTTTTTATGTTCAGAAAATGCTGAAATAGAAAGAGGAACTCTCAGATTAGTTATTAACTATAAACCTTTGAATGAAGTTTATATATATATATATATATATATATATATATATATATATTAATCAACCCCATAATCTTATTAAGATAAAAATACAAATACAAATGAGGGGGACATAAAGCCAAACCTCATTGATGAAAAAAAAACATCACATATACGTAGTACAATCAAACTTCAGAATAAAAAAAACTTCTTAAACGAGCCACTTTCAATGCAATTGCTAGTGCTACCTTTTCTTTGAAGATGTTAAAGAATTGAAAATAGGCATACCTCCATGATATCTTTAAGATCAATGTGCCGCAAACTCCCCAAAAGCCTACGATGAAGCCAAGTACCACGCTAACATAGAACCACAACTTATCATCATTTCCATCTTCATTCTTGTCTTTTGCATCCTTAGATGGGAAAGTCTTATCTTCAGGGCACTTAGTGAAAAGAGGAACTCCACACAGTGATGGATTGTCCATATAAATCGAAAAATCATTGAGCGTTTGAAGCTGGTTTCCAGAAGGAATTCTTCCGGACAAGTTGTTATAAGACAAGTTCAAGTGGGACAAAGAGGTTAAAGATGACAAGCTTTGAGGAATTTGTCCCGTGAGGTGGTTGTGTGAGAGATCAAGAGTTTCGAGCCAACGTAAGTTTCCAATCTTGGAGGGGATCCTTCCAATCAATTGATTCATGGACAAATTCAAGGTGCCCAATAGAATGAGGCTGCTTATTTCTTCAGGGATTTCACCTTGTAAATTATTTGATGAAAGATCAATGCTCTTTACAAGATCTAGAGTCGTGTTGTACACAAGTTCTCGTCCTTTTAATATCAATGTGGTTTGCTCAAGATAACCATTAACATATACATCACCAATATTATTGACCAGCAAAGTCAAATTATTCAAACAAGTGGGAATAGTACCTGAAAAGTTGTTGCGACTAAGGTCGAGGATGTGAAGGCGGAGAAGATTGCACAGTTGATGGGGAATATGTCCAGTAAAAAGTTGGACCGCAATAGTAGCCTGTTCAACAAGGATACATTTGATCCTCCTATCCATAGAGGTATGTTCCCAGATAACTTGTTGTCTCCAAGATCAAAACTCCTCAAACTAGAACAATTTTGCAAGGAATTAGGAATATCACCACTAAAATTGTTGTTGTTGAGATGTAATACTTTCAGGGAACTTAATACCCCCAATGAAGTGGGAATATTACCAAAGAGATTATTGTGACCAACATCTAAATACAACATATTGCTCCCCGCACTCCATGCATGAGGTAATTCTCCAGAAAATTGATTGCTCCTTAGAGACAAGATTTCCAACTGCTGCATGTTGCCGCCGATAGAGGTAGGAATAGTGCCATTCAAATGATTCTCCATTAGAACCAGATGTTGCAAATTGGGCATCATTTGACCAATGTTCGAGGGAATTGGCCCGAAAAACATATTGTTATTCAGATAAAGGATAATGACTTTAGTGGACCACCAAAGTGGGGCTGGGCCCTCCAATTGATTGTGACTCAAATCAAAATATTGCATACTTGGAAATTTCAAATGGGATGGAAAGTTTCCACCAAGTTTGTTGTAAGACAAGTCTAGCCAGCGGACTTGGGAAGATATCCTCGACAACCATTCCTCTGGTAAATCCGAGATTCCAATACCCCTAAGAGTGACATAGATCAGTTCAACTTGAGTTTGAATCCATATCCAAAAATCAGGACTTACCTGACAGTTTCGGATTCCAAATGTGTGGAGCTTGAAAGGAGGAACCCAATCACGAGCCATGTTGAACTTGAGGGACATGGGTTGGTGTGTGACTTGAATTCCTACACTAAAATCTTGTAATCTGGTAAGATTTATGAAATGAGCTTCCGTTACAATGCCTTCCAATGAATTTTCAGACAGATCGAGGGAAACTAGTTGAGAGAGTTGTCCCATACCTTGTGGAATTTGACCTTTTAAGCCTGTTTTAGATAAATCAAGGTATTTTAGAGATTTGAAGTTTGCAAATTCATTTGGAAGAGAATTACTGAAATTATTCCTTGATAGATCAAGTGCAATGAGGCTGGTAAGATTAAAAATCCAATTGGGAAACGAAGAACTGTTAAAACTGTTATTCGACATATCAAGGACCAAAAGTGATGTCAAGTTAATCCTCTGGAGTGAGAGTGGAATGCTTTCAATTTGGCACGAAGATAAGTGTAACTTTAACAATGAAGGAAGCATGTTCATAACATATGCCCAACTGACTCCTGTGCGGCTAAGGTCCATGTAATTGAGATTAAGGTATTTTAGGGAAGAGAGGTGAGAAAGCCAAGTCAAGTTTCTGGAAGATAAGTACTCATTGGACCCGAGATCAAGAAAATGTAGGCTCGACAGGTTACCAAAAGAAGGGGGAATCTCTCCCTCAAATGATGCAAAGGAGAGATTGAGATATTGCAAACCTTTAAGCTCCCCAAAGAACATCGGAATGTAAGTGCCTTGAACTCATTGTAGCTGAGGTCCAGGTATTTTAAATGTTTCAAGCTCAACAAAGAAGCATTTATCTTACCTCCCAAGCAAGACCTTTCATAAGCCGAGTCGTCCCACTCTTCATAAGAACGGGAATCTGGATATGGATTCCGGAGGTCCATCTTGACAACAAGGCCGGTGCTGTTGTTGCATGAAATTCCTTCCCATTGACAGCAATCATGACCCACCCAAGAGGAAAGCCTACCAGAAGGATCAACAAGATGTTGTTTAAAGCTGACAAGTGCTCGCCTTTCTTCCTCAATGCATAATGGTTTCACAGTGCTAGTGCTCGGAACTCCGATATCACCCAAGCAGATCATAGCAGTGGGTAGATACGTAGATGCGAAAAGCAAAATGAGAAAAGAGTGAGAAATATTGAGGTGATTGAATAAGGTGTTTGCAAACAAGGTATCCATTGGAGAAGTCAGTGTATTTATTCCCCAATTGGTTGCAGATGAACACAACAAGTGAACTCAACTCATATATTTATAACAAGCAATGAGAGCTTAAAGATTATGAAGTGTATCAACTCTCTATTGGGTTTCACACGTTTACATTTGTATTCACACCATGAAATTGCAAAGAAGGTGAGCTGGAGTGGGTAGAGAGTGGGGAGGGGGACAACTTGACAAGGACACAAATGCTCCTGCCTACTTTTAAGTCAATCTTCTAGGTCAATCTCATAATTTCCACAATTTTAGACTTGTTGGCCGACATTAAGTTCGGCATATCAGACACGTTTGTAACACCATCGTATTAATCTCGTTTGTTAATATTAGGGAACAAAAATGATAAAAAATTATGAAGTGTTTGGATTTTTTATGGCTGAATTATATTTTAACACCATCATATTTAGCTCAATTTCTTCTTCCTAATCAATCAACAAGTGTAGTCGATGAGATGTGCTACAATAAGACGTCAACCGCGGAGTTGTTGCGGTTGTAGCTCCCAGGCCATTTAGTAACCCAGAAGTAGTTGTAATAATTTTCTTTCATAATATTACATGAGGTCACAAGTTTGAATTATTTTGTCCGTTATCAAGACAAGAACTTAGGACATCACTATATTGTTCTCCAATACTACGTCGTATTTCCAAAACTTCCAAAAGGAGGGTGGTTAAAATGTTCAACATCTTCCCTCAGTCAAGAAAGTGTTTACCATGACACAATACACAACAAGATTAAAATTTCATTGCTTGTTGAATGAACGTATCATAATTACCACAAAGCAAAAATCCTCTTGACAACAAAACTTGGCAGAGTGAGAAATCAATCTCTTGATTTTTTGAACTTCTTCGACTTCCCTCCGGACTTTCCTCCCCCCTTGTGGCCTAAGTACTTGTCAATATCCTCCTCCTCCCCATTGTTTGCCCCCTTCCTCTTCTTGTCTCCACTCTCTTTTATTTTCTGGAGATGTCAAATGTAGAACACGTTGAGCACTATTTCTATTCAATGGGATACATACCCCGTAAATGAAACAAAATCCTTGAGATTGACAAGTAAACAAAAATAGAAAACACCAACTTGGGAAGACATTACCATCTGTGCTAATCTTTTGGCCTCTCCGACACGTTCTAACGGTAGCAGGACTTCCTCTTCTTGAGCAGAAAACTCCGGTAACTTTTTGCCTCAACATTAACAAATGTAGCACGGATACGGATACGGATACGGCGATACGACACGGCAATACGGCTATTTGAAATTGTAAGCATAAAAGTTAAAAAATTGGTTTCAGTATCCCACCAGACTGTTAGGATGCCAGATGGCATCATCTTGTGGTGACAGTTAGAGTTGGGTATTAGCATAAATAGCACATCGTAAGAGAATAAGGGAGTTAATGAAATATTGATTGTTGTATTGTTGTTATGTTACTATCTCTCTGTACAATCGTAGAAGACGTAGACCGGGTTCTAACACAGACAAGCATGGGAAACTATAGCTTACCGATAAGCTTCTCTATTTTTTTGTCCTTCGATTGAAAGTTCCTCTCTCTGATTTTTTGTGTGTCGGAGCTTGAACAAAGGTTCAAAATGTGAATTTTCACATTGGGTACGTCAAGATTCCACCGAACATGGTGAAGATTGTTATTTACAAGTTTGCAACTTCCAAGACCGCTGGCCGATGACGTAGTCAAGTTCCTTACAGAGTCATTCCTCCTTGCATAAAAGTTCAGTCCGACAGTAATTTCCAGATTACAAAGAATAATCAACTACGATCAGGTTTTTTACTTACACAGTCGAAGCAATGTGTATAACTTTATTGGTTGTACATGTTGAGCAGAAAAAAAATGAAATCAAATGTCAAATAGCGTCATTTAATATTACAGTCTAGTGGTATTCCTATTCACTTGTAAATGAGAGGTTTTAGGTTCGATTCTTACCAAGGCAATTTGAACCACATTATTGATAGCTCAGTGTGAAGCTAAATCCACCTTCTCTCCTTAATGTGGATAACATCGATTGTTAAAAAAGGGTCAAATGCCAAAGCCGTCCCACCATGAAATTGCAAGGAAAGTGAGAGTGGGGAGGGGGACTAGACTTTTTCATTTGTTTTTCACTAAGGAATGATTGTTAGTACTCCGTAATAATCTTTGTTACACTCGTTGCTTTTTTAATTTTTTTGTTTTCAAAAAGGGGGAAAACTAGTCTCCATAAAGAGACCGAGAAGATGACAAGGACACAAATGCTCCTGCGTCCATCAGCAAAGACCTTGACTTTTAGTCAGTCTCACAATTTCCTCCCGCGTATACAAACAGTGCCGCAATTTTAGGATTGTTGGCCGACATTGAGTTTCACATTGACCATAGGATTGTTGGCCGCAATTTTAGTCAGTCTCATTTATTGTACGATGGAAACTACATTTTCTTAGGAAAGTGTTATTGGTATTCCAAAAATCTCATTATAAACTCCTCACAAGTGTATTTTTCTTTCTAAATATAGAAAATTTGGAATGTACAATGAGAATTTTGGAGTGCTAATAACAATTTCCTTTTCTTATGGCTAAATTATATTTTTGATCATATTAGCTCGATTTCTTCTTCCTTATCAATCAACTAGGGTAGTTGATGAGATGTGATAAAATAAGACGTCAACAACAGAGTTGTTGCGGTTGTAGCTCCCAAGCGATATAGGAACCCATATATCGTTGTTTCAATAACTTTTCTTTCATAATATTTATAAGAAAGGAAAACTAATGAAAAGGGTTTGAAAATTTTGAGTTTTAATGATAAGGACAAAATAAAGGGTAAAGTGAATAGTATCAGGATTGACTTTTTAGTGTAAAAATGTGGTTTTTCGTTAAAGTGAATAGTACTAAGAGCTTTTCGTTAAAATTCTCATTTAAGAATGTCACAATTTCAAATCGTTTTATCCGTTATCAAAACATGGACTTAGAACCCCACTATATTGTTTTTAATAATACGTCGTATTCCCCAAACCTCCAAAAAAAGGGTGGTATGGTAAAAATGTTCAACATCTTCCCTCAGTCAAGAAAATGTTGACCATGAGATATTATATAAATTACAATTTCATTGCTGGTCCTTTCGTTGAATCAACGTATCATAATTACCACAAAGCAAAAATTCTCTTGAGAACAAAACTTGGCAGAGTGAAATCAATCTCTTGAATTTTTTAACTTCTTCGACTTTCCTCTGGACTTTCCTTCCCCCTTGTGATCGAAGTACTTGTCACCTCCAGAAGCAAACTAGGTTTTTGGACCTGGATCTAAAAGCCCCACCCTTTTTTTCCACTTTGGTGATTAAAATCCTGAATTTCACTCAATTTTGCCCTAAAGTCCTTTATTTAGATAGGCTACACTGCTAGTTTGTCCCCAGAATTTTGTAGGCATTTTCAACTTACCCATGAGCTAAGTTTTTGGAAAATTATATTACTTTCTCAAATCAGAAATTTTAAGTTTTTAAATTAATAGGATAGAAGTTTTGAAATTAGAACTCTTTATACGTTGAGAATAGTAATATCACTAGACGAGTAACTACAAGTTGGTAAAAGATTCACAATTTACTTCATTATAAGATCTGTTAATGAAGCGACACATTCATAGATAATTACATGTTGAAGTGTTACAAGTTTATGTAAAATATTAGGTAAAAGTTTTTGTTCTCATAAATATTTGAATTCTAAATGTCTAATTATTTGGTCTATCAAACATTCAATTTAGTAGAAATTATAGTGAATTCATAACAAGATTAGTGAATGCAATTCTCTCATTTAGTCATTCTCTATTTATGATAAACATGAATCTACCTAATGTTTTCTTTAACATTCTCGTTAGTGAGGCTGCCATGGAAGCATACGGGAAGCTTGCAGTTATTGACGAAAATCAAGAGCCACAAGCAAAGTTATTGTCATTAGAAGTGCATGACCATTAGGTTTAACAGCCTTTTAAGCACAGTAGTTGAAACTAAGAATATCCGAGAGCATATTTTGCTAGCACAACAAAGCGAGGGGCTACAAACCACTCCCTCCCCCGGGGGGGCGCCCGAAAGCATGACAACTCTATAGTTTATGGTCGCTCAACTTTCTAATTTCTTGGTCTCAATCTACTCCACCTCGGCCAAGTAATCTTCAATTTCAGCTGGTGTGAGTACTCTGCAACAACACAATCACAAAATAACTTCACAAGCTAATGCATGCCAACCAAAGGGTGAATCGACGAATAAAAATTAAAACAATGGGTTGTGAGGGGAAACTTGCCTGAATTTTTTGTCAGCGCCAATTATCCCAATCTCAATGTTTTTACCAGAAATTTGTCCTTCAAACCTAGAACCGCACGCAGAAAGAAAGGTCACAAAAGAGCTAACTTATATTTGTATGATAGAACAACGGTGTACAGCTATACTTAATGTATGTGTATAAATTCAGAACTGAATTTGTTTCCTTTAGGAAGACTAAAAGTAAAATAAAAAAAACTGAAGGATAAAGTGCCTACCCTTCTTTCAGGGTCAATATTGCCGTGTGGACAGCATCATCAAGTTCCATGTCCTCGGTGTACCTACAAGAAATGGTCACATGAATCCTCAGCTAAATTCATAGCAAACATAAAACTCAAGGCCAGGATAAAGAAATAGAATGTAATTCAAGGGTTAAAAGATTGACGAGTACATGCTGCTGATTAGAAATGCCAATATAGCTGTCAATAATTACTGAGATAAATAAAATAGAACGAAGACTACCCTTGAGAATCAATGACTATTGAGTTCCTGAATTTCGTTACGCCTCCAACATTGATTCATAATTAAGTGTACAATGCAATTATGAGATGTTAAGCACCTCCAATGGTTATTGCTTTAGTTAGAAATTTAGACAAAAGGAACATAAACCAGAAAACAGTTTGTATAATTGTTGATCGTAACTTGCCTTTTCTCAAGAAATGTTTTTGCGTTAGACACATTTTTCCCCATGGCAGAAGCTTTCCAAGAAAAGTAAGAACCAGATGGGTCCACCTACAGCATAACAAAAATCAGTCACGCAGAAATCCAATGGAAAATAGATATCAGAAAAATAAATAACTACAAAAGCTTTAAAAGGTTGTGGTATGTGTGTGTGTATTGCCAACTAGAAAGAAAAAAGGATTGCGCTCCCTAAACCTCTATAGTTTGTTCTCAAAGACTCGAGCACAATGTGCACCATAAGTTTACACTAGGTGAGGACAGAATATACATACCTGAAATAGTTGTGGACCTTTGTCATCAAAGCCGGCAACCAGCAGTGAAACTCCAAAAGGCCTTACACCCCTAGAAGGATAACAGTCAAATCAGAGAAAAGGGCCTGAAAGTTAATTGCAGCCTGAAGTTGAATACGCAAAACATGCATTTGCCTGTATACGAAATCTAAGCAAATAATTACAATACTCAAGCTTAAGTTATCAAGATTAAAAATTTTCAAATGATACTAATCTTCCCTTCCCGTATTTTTCTATATAAACAACTCAAGCATTAAAACCTTTTAATTTATTAAAAGTTCGGACCAAGAAGGATAATTTAGGATCAAGATCGTTAAAAATCTTAAGGTAGGTAAACCAGGTTGTGAGAAAAAATGATAATTACCCAGACTGTGTGAACTCCTGCATAACAGCAGCAACTTCCCTCACTAGTTGTGTAACAGGGATAGGTTCCTGTAAATACCCACCAAATCAAATTGTAAGTTACATAACAAAAAATACAAATTACAGTAACTAACTGGGTGGGTGACTATATAAAGTAATAAATCAACTTGTTTCAAGTTGAGACTCGTTATAACATATTGGGGTAGGAATGCGGATGGCCAAAGGGAGGTATCACTTAAGACTCTATGCCCGATCACACGACCAAAAAATATTCATTCACTATATTTAAAAGCTAAAAACCAATATATAAACAATGATATTACCAAAAAAATGCTTTAAATGCTGTGGTGCACATCAAGGAGAATAACGATTCAATAGGATTCTTCTAAGGAACGTAAACTGAAATTCCAATACTTAGCATATGTTCAAAGAACAATATCAATACTATGGCTAAAAATAAAAAGAATAAAAGATGAAAGACACAAAATTTGAGATATACTTTATACAACTGATGATATTGCTCAGCCTGTTTCCTACTTTTCCGAACCAGAACTCTGAAATCTGGACCCATGCCACTGCATGAGAGAACAGTAAATTTCAGTTATTTTTTCTCTGAAGAAAGAAAGCCCGCCAATTAAAACCCCTTAAACATCATGAGGAATTCTTAAACATCATGAGGAATTCTTAGATACAACAAAATCAATAATAAAATGGCATGCATTCATTGTTGGTGGAACTCTTATCATTTTTCAATGGAACTACATCATTCATGTGATATGGGTCCTCTAAAGGTGAATTCATATTTTATGGATGATGGATCCCGCCAACAATAAACTACTGTTCATTTCATTATTGGTTTGTTTTACCACGATAATATGATAACATGGTAAAGCCACTGTAGCTAAGACTTTTTGTGGATCAGATATTATTGAAGCATTATAGCAGCAACAACATGACAGTAATATCAAAATAGTAATGTGAAAAACCTCAACTTAACACAAACATGTAGTACAGACAAACCTGTAAACAACTCCAATGTTTGGCGTCAATAACTGAATTTTCTGAACCTGCAACCCAAAAACTCGAAAGGTCACAAGAAGTCCCCAGTATACTACTTGATTATTGGAGAGAACATGCCATAGAGGTGTAAAGAAAACAAATTCAGTTTGTCAAACAAGAATAGTTGATGAGATACACAAGCTATATATCAGTGTACAAATAAATTTAGAAATCCAGCACCGGCATAGAACTAGTACATAACTTATGAATTGCGGTCTATCAAAAAGAGTAGCATATTCACTCACAGATGTTTCATCAACTAAGATAGATGGCAGTTTCTTCTCCGTTGCTATGACAACTCCATTAGCAGCTGCAACAAGAAGACAGATTTTTCTAAATAACAAAACCAATGACACTAACTTTATGATATATTTCAAAACTTATCTGACGTAAGAGCCAAATAATGAGCTGAATCAAAACGAAGAAAAGTTAAAGATGTAAATATTTCAGCAACAGAAGACATTTATGTTTAGCACTACAGCAGTAAGAACAGTTATCTTTTATACAACTACTGACTCAAATGGTGTAATAAGATATCTCAGTTGAAGTCCATTAAAATTACCCCAAGGATGCATGAGGCCCAATCTTGCAAACAATCCACATAATTTATAATTATTGAAAATCAACTCGAACCAATATAATAAGATATAGCTATGAAATCTAAAATTACTGGTGATCAAGCGTATGATGGGTCTTACTTCTCCTAAAGAAAGGATGTCTACGATTAGTAGTGATCTCCCTTTTATAGTTACTAGGCACTTTCTTGCCAATAGTTCTTTACAAGATCGTCCGCAATTCATACCTCAAATTACAAAACAAAGAATGACCAAAATGCATTTCATTTTAACTAAACATAAGCACTAAACTCTACCACGTCGGAATTCTAAGCTTCTTTTATCTCTCTATCCTGAGTGCACTGATTCAACTTCACCCATTTTCTTCCCCCTACCGACCATAAATACCACACTCAGCTTCCATCCAATTTCATTTATCGTGGATCACTAAAAACTCAGTTCCAAATGAGGTGTTGGACACCCGTTCCTTACCAGGAAATAAATACAAAAAAATTAATTTGCTCATTCTTAACAACAAGGATAACAATTCTAAATATTTGCTGCAACCACCGAACCGATATAGTTAACATGTAATACCCTTTAACTCTTTCACACCAGTTTCTAGCAACAATGAACAGATTGTTCATCTCTTTTTCTGACCAACTTAATCCGTCTCCTTTCTTATTCCAGACGAATACTTAGAAAGTGTTAATTCAAATTCAAATGTATCCGAAACCTTGAGAATGCATAAGATTTTTGCACACCTTTAATCCCTAAAGACGTCTGGCCAGATCCAACTGCCGTTAGCGCATGTTCAATCTGAACAAGCTTCCCCAGAAGGACTGAATTCAAAATAAAAATAAAAATTATGATCCAAAAAAAAAAAACCCCAATATTCCAATCAAATTTTCAGTACAAAATTCAAATTGAATTCCCAGGTCAAATACCTGAAAGTCGTAAGAGAAAATGAGTACTGGCTATCACTCATTATGCTTTCCAACCCAAAAAAATAAAAATAAAAACCTGCGGAAACAGATATCAGAACGAACCCATCAATTTTCAATTGAAAAACAAAAAAAAACAATTAATTGTTACTTGAGTAGTGAAAATTAGGAAATTGGGTTTCTTTGGAACCCTAACGGCAAGCTAAAGTTGGGGTCTTTTGAGACGTACCTGACTCAGAGGATCAAACTCGGAAGTTCAGAAGCGCCCGCGAAAGAGAAGGTTTCTTGAAGTGAGCGTTCTTCTGTGTTTCAAAGAAGAAGATGGATGCGACGACGCCGTACTGACTGGCATAGCTTGTTTATTTATGACTTAAGTTTCACTGATAATCCTTGAAGTTTACTCGGATTTTTGCTTTCAACCTTGTAGTGTTTTACTTTGCATTGTGATCCTTGTAGAGTTTTGTTTAAAGGAAACTAATAAAAAGAGCTTGAAAATTTTGAGTTTTAATGATAAGGACAAAATAAAGGGTAAAGTGAATAGTACCAAGATTGACTTTTTAGTGTAAAAATATGGTTTTTTGTTAAAGTAAACAATACTTGATGTTTTTCGTTAAAGTTCTCTTTGTTTAACTCATACAATGGGCAGCCTAATTTGGTATCGAATTCATCACTAACGAGATTCGAACTTAAGACCTCTCACACCCAAATGAAGAGGAATACCACTAAACCATAGTTCTTGAATGAGAAGATGCGCACACAAATGGATAGAAAATTCAACTTAATTTGACAATTTTTTTTTGTTCAAAATGAAAGTAGGACATAAATGTAACAAAATAAACTATATGGACGCAAGTGAAAATCAGAGTAAACAATAGGGACTGTAAGGCCATCTCCAACCGATCCGGTCAAAATGTCGTAGGGCTAAAAATATCTCAGAATGACACGAAAATCGTCTCCAACAGAGGGCTAGGCCAAAGGGCTTGTGGGCCTCACAAGGTCAAAACCCCCAAATCAGGCCAACAGGCTGGCCATTTCCAACCAGCCAACCCAACCCTCCAGTGACAGAATGTCAAGCATGACTTTGTGGCAGGTGCAAGAATACCAAGCTTTCTTCGTTATTGTAGCAAGTGGCAATCAAAATATGTTCAAAATCTTATTTTAATATGGTAGTTTAATTTAATTAATTATATTAATTCAATTAAAATAATAAATTATTAAGAATGTTATGTTTGACCTATGAACCTTTGGCCTCTTTAGTTGGAGATGAATTTTTTGTCAAATGGCTATATTTGACCTATAACCTTTTGGCCCCCTCTGTTGGAAATGGTATAAAATATAACATGATACTGTTCATTACAATATAATTTCTTGCAGTGCTATAGGCTAAACATGACCCTTTAGCCCTCCTTCAGAGATGGCCTAAGTGTCATTTGGCCCCTAATCGTATTTTTGTACCGCATAATGTGTACATATCATATCAGTTAAAGTTCATCTCGTTGGATGCTAATAGGCTATCTCATGATCCAAAATGGGCAGGTAACGTTGAGCTCGAGCTTGAGCTTGATATGATGGATAACAAATGCCATGTAGAAACACCATGGTAAGAAAGGAAGATTAAAACTACACACACGTGACTTCATCTTGATCTTTAGTCACACCAAACCATCCCTGAGTAGACAGAAAACCTAACTGATAAACAACACAGAACAGGTAAAACCAGATCATCCACTGCTCTTGCAATTCATCCTTTAATTTTCCACGCATGGGCACACCGGGGCCCACTTGCGATCCCCTCGTAGTACTTGGATTCAAGTTTTTGTTTGTTCCAAACTTTCACGAAGTCTGCAAATAGTTGGCGTGCGGACTCTGATGAAAGATCGGAGAAGAACACATCTTTCTCTTCTTTCAGCCACGTAGAGAACTCATTGTTCTTGAGGAAATAGTCATCATTCGACAGCTCTTGGAAGTCAATTTTCTGCAAGAAAAAATACTTCTTAACTCCTAACCATCAGAAAATCAATGCTCAAGAAACGGATATGCTGAACACGATAATAAGGTGGACCATCAAGTAATCAATATCAAAATGCAGAGAATCCCTTGTGCCAACTGGTCAAGCTTCCACAACAACAACAACAACAACAAAGCCTTTTCCCACTAAGTGGGGTCGGCTATATGAATCCTAGAACGCCATTGCGCTCGGTTTTGTGTCATGTCCTCCGTTAGATCCAAGTACTCTAAGTCTTTTCTTAGAGTCTCTTCCAAAGTTTTCCTAGGTCTTCCTCTACCCCTTCGGCCCTGAACCTCTGTCCCGTAGTCACATCTTCGAACCGGAGCATCAGTCGGCCTTCTTTGCACATGTCCAAAACACCGGAGCCGATTTTCTCTCATCTTTCCTACAATTTCGGCTACTCCTACTTTACCTCGGATATCCTCATTCCCAATCTTATCCTTTCTTGTGTGCCCACACATCCCACGAAGCATCCTCATCTCCGCTACACCCATTTTGTGTACGTGTTGATGCTTCACCACCCAACATTCTGTGCCATACAACATCGCTGGCCTTATTGCCGTCCTATAAAATTTTCCCTTGAGTTTCAGTGGCCTACGACGGTCACACAACACGCCGGATGCACTCTTTCCATCCAGCTCGTATTCTATGGTTGAGATCTCCATCTAATTCTCTGTTCTCTTGCAAGATAGATCATAGGTAGCGAAAACGGTCGCTTTTTGTGATCTTCGCTAGATTGCTCCGGTCATTAGTGTGGATAAGTATATAAATGGATAGAGATATGAAAGCAAACACAAAATGTACGTGGTTCACCCAGATTGGCTACGTCCACGGAATAGAAGAGTTCTCATTAATTGTGAAGGGTTTACACAAGTACATAGGTTCAAGCTCTCCTTTAGTGAGTACAAGTGAATGATTTAGTACAAATGACATTAGGAAATATTGTGGGAGAATGATCTCGTAATCACGAAACTTCTAAGTATCGGAGTGTGGTGTCGTCTTGACTTGCCTTATCTGTCTCATAGGTAGATGTGGCATCTTCTCTGGAAGTACTCTTCCTCCATCCAGGTGTGGTATCTTTAACTGGTGGAGATGCACAAGGTAATGTATCAATTTCACTTGAAGCTTACTTGTAGTTTCAGGCTTGGTCAAGCGCGATACAAACCATGTAGTAGGAGTCCCCCAAGTCGCGGAGCTAGATGGGTCTGCTGAAAGAGGTGACAGACAAGGTAAGCAATCAGAGCTCCGACTGATTGTTCACCTTCTCCCCATCTTGCAGCAGTATGAAGGATAAAGAGAAGAAAAATGAGAAGAGATGATATGAGATACTTTTGCTTTTGAAGAAGTAACTTTCCACAAGCTTATTCTTGAACTGAGCTGGAGGGTTTTCTGGTTTCCTCCAGAGTATAAGGCCGACTGAAGAATTTGAGGGTCAAAACAAGTCCATCAAATCTAGAGTACGTTCCACCCTGCTGATATGGGATACTTTTGCTTTTGACAGAGTAATGGATGTATCGGCACGTGTGCTGTTACGCTTGTCTCCACATGCTTCCTTGTATCCTTCGCACTTGCCCTATCTGTTCCTCAAGCAGATGCGGAATCTTCCCTGGAAACATAAGATGTTAAAGATGAGTACTCGAGAGCAATGCCAGGTAAGTAATCAGGTAAGGGGTTCCAGGCAGTCAGTTCCTGGCTGGAAGCTTGATTCCAAGTGCTGACTGATTACTCTCTTTCTCCTTGTCTTGCAGGTAAAAACAAGGCCAAAAGAAAAGACAGGGAAAAAGCATGATATGGGATACTCTTGCTTTTAACCCTGATGATATGAGATATTCTTGCTCTAGTATAGCTTGTTTGCAGAGGTATTATCGGGAGGAAAGAAAGCTGAATATTTCGAAAGGCTTCGTTGGGAGTGCCCTCTCAGATATGATGAAGGGTTGAGCATTTTTGCAGGTCTGCCTGTCCGTTGGGGATGGAGGTCGACATATATAGGAGTCTCCCTAACAACAAGTAGTAATGTTATTCCTTTACCCTGCTTGGTCATAGCACGGTAGTGGGAGCTGCCAGTTTCACATGTTTTAACTCTGTCAGAGCACTTTGAAAAAGTGGTCTGTGGTATCTGGCTCTCGAGATTCGGAGAACGGTGCCTCTTCGATTTTTGAGAAAGCAATCATGTTGGGGGTCTGACTCTCGAGATTCGGAGAGCAGTGTCTCTTCTTCGATTTTTGAGGAAGTAATCATGTTGGGAGTCTGGCTCTCGAGATTCGGAGGGCAGTGCCTCTTCGATTTTGGAGCAAGCAATCTTGTTGGGAGTGTTGTCTCGAATGTGAGTAAAGGTTGGGCATGTTTGCTAGTCTACCTTGCCACGAAGCACAAAGGTTGACACACAGGGACTTTCCAATTATCCAGCAATGGTACTGTTCCTTTACCCTCTCTTCGATTTTGAGAAAGTAGTCATGTTGGGAGTCTGGCTCTCGAGATTCGGAGGACGGTGCCTCTTCGATTTTGGATCAAGCAATCTTGTTGGGAGTGTTTTCTCGAATGTGAGTAAAGGTTGGGCATGTTTGCTAGTCTACCTTGCCACGAAGCACAGAGGTTGACACACAGGGACTTTCCAATTATCCAGCAGTGGTACTGTTCCTTTACCCTTGTGGGTAATAATATGGTAGCTAGACCTTCAAAATTTATGTGTCTAAACTTTGTTAGTGCTGTTTCTTTGCTATTCTTTTACCTTTCTTGGTCAGGGCGATGTAGTGGGAGCTGCAAGCTTCACGTGCTCAACTTTGGCAGAGAACTTTGGCAAAGTTATCTGTGGTACCCATGAGCTATTGTTGCGTGTGGGAAGTGGGTGATTGAACAGTAAGATTCATGTGCTTTCTACTTCACCAGAAGTCTTCGACAGAATGCCCATAATTTCTGCAAAGCTGAGTGTGCGTGTGACAGGTGCTGACAAGGCTAGAAAAGTAGGTGCCTCTTCGATTTCTGAGATCGGCCCTCGTGGTCTCTGAGCAGCCCAGCTTTTGAGAAAGCGAGCGTCTCTTCGATTGATTCGGAGAACGATGCCTCATCGATTTTTGAGAAAGCAATCATGCTGGGGGTCTGGCTCTCGAGATTCGGGGAGCAGTGTCTCTTCGATTTTTGAGAAAGTAATCATGTTGGGAGTCTGGCTCTCGAGATTCGGAGGACGGTGCCTCTTCGATTTTGGAGCAAGCAATCTTGTTGGGAGTGTTTTTTCGAATGTGAGTAAAGGTTGGGCATGTTTGCTAGTCTACCTTGCCACGAAGCACAGAGGTTGACACACAGGGACTTTCCAATTATCCAGCAATGGTACTGTTCCTTTACCCTCTCTTCGATTTTTAAGAAAGTAGTCATGTTGAGAGTCTGGCTCTTGAGATTCGGAGGACGGTGCCTTTTCGATTTTGGAGCAAGCAATCTTATTGGGAGTGTTTTCTCGAATGTGAGTAAAGGTTGGGCATGTTTGCTAGTCTACCTTGCCACGAAGCACAGAGGTTGACACACAGGGACTTTCCAATTATCCAGCAGTGGTACTGTTCCTTTACCCTTGTGGGTAATAATATGGTAGCTAGACCTTCAAAATTTATGGGTCTAAACTTTGTTAATGCTGTTTCTTTGCTATTCTTTTACCCTTCTTGGTCAGAGCGATGTAGTGGGAGCTGCAAGCTTCACGTGCTCAACTTTGGCAGAGAACTTTGGCAAAGTTATCTGTGGTACCCATGAGCTATTGTTGCGTGTGGGAAATGGGTGATTGAACAGTAAGATTCATGTGTTTTCTACTTCCCCAGAAGTCTTTGACAGAATGCCCATAATTTTCGCAAAGCTGAGTGTGCGTGTGATAGGTGCTGACAAGGCTGGAAAAGTAGGTGCCTCTTCGATTTCTGAGATCGGCCCTCGTGGTCTATGGGGAGCCCAGCTTTTGAGAAAACGAGCGCCTCTTCGATTTCTGAGATCGGCCTTCGTGGTCTTTGAGCAGCCCAACTTTTGAGAAAGCAAACGCCTCTTCGATTTCTGAGATCAACCCTCGTGATCTCTAAGCAGCCCAGCTTTTGAGAAAGCAAACGCCTCTTCGATTTCTGAGCAGGCGCCTCTTCGATTTCTGAAGCTCCGTCGAGTGCAGATTTTTATAGGGGCTGGCATTAAGTTCCAAAGCACACTTGAATCTCCACCAGTAGAAGCTTCATTCTTGCACTTCTAAGATCTTGATTTGTCCGACCTCTTCTCTCTTCAACACCTTTGAAAATGTCTGGCCCCTCCGACCGTCGTTTTGACTTGAACCTTGTTGAAGAGGCAGCCCCGCCTTCTCCAGACAACATATGGCGCTCATCCTTCGTCTCCCCTACTGGTCCTCTTACCGTTGGGGATTCCGTGATGAAGAATGATATGACCGCTGCGGTGGTGGCCAGGAACCTTCTCACTCCCAAAGATAACAGACTACTTTCCAAACGGTCTGATGAGTTAGCTGTTAAGGATTCGCTGGCTCTCAGTGTTCAGTGTGCAGGTTCTGTGTCTAATATGGCCCAACGCCTATTTGCTCGAACCCGCCAAGTTGAATCATTGGCGGCTGAAGTGATGAGTCTCAAACAGGAGATTAGGGGGCTCAAGCATGAGAATAAACAGTTGCACCGGCTCGCACATGACTATGCTACAAACATGAAGAGGAAGCTTGACCAGATGAAGGAAACTGATGGTCAGGTTTTACTTGATCATCAGAGATTTGTGGGTTTGTTCCAAAGGCATTTATTGCCTTCGTCTTCTGGGACTGTATCGCGTAATGAAGCTCCAAATGATCAACCTCTGATGCCTCCTCCTTCTAGGGTTCTGTCCAGTACTGAGGCTCCAAATGATCCCCCTCCGGTGCCTTCTCTTTCTGGGGCTCTACCGACTGCTGAGACTTCTCCTAAGCAACCTTTGTGAAGGCTCCCTCTTGTGTGTTTATTTTGACTCATGTATATGTACATATTTGTAGCTTATCGGGGATATCAATAAATAAGCTTTCCTTCATTTCAACGTATTGTGTTAAATACACCAAAGCCTTCTTCGCTAAGTTCTTTGAATTTTCTTTTGTTGAAGCTTGTATGTTGAAGCTTTCTGAGTGGAGCATGTAGGTTGGGGTAGCGTTCCCTTAATTTCCCGAGTGAGGAAAACTTCTCGGTTGGAGACTTGGAAAATCCAAGTCACTGAGTGGGATCGGCTATATGAATCTTAGAACGCCATTGTGCTCGATCATGTGTCATGTCCTTCGTTAGATCCAAGTACTCTAAGTCTTTTCTTAGAGTCTCTTCCAAAGTTTTCCTAGGTCTTCCTCTACCCCTTCGGCCCTGAACCTCTGTCCCATAGTCGCATCTTCTAATCGGAGCGTCAGTAGGCCTTCTTTGCACATGTCCAAACCACCGTAACCGATTTTCTCTCATCTTTCCTTCAATTTCGGCTACTCCTACTTTACCTCGGATATCCTCATTCCTAATCTTATCCTTTCTCGTGTGCCCACACATCCAACGAAGCATCCTCATCTCCGCTACACCCATTTTGTGTACGTGTTGGTGTTTCACCGCCCAACATTCTGTGCCATACAGCATCGCCGGCCTTATTGCCGGCCTTATTGCCGTCCTATAAAATTTTCCCTTGAGCTTCAGTGGCATACGGCGGTCACACAACACGCCGGATGCACTCTTCCACTTCATCCATCCAACTGGTCAAGCTTCCAAAACGTAATTTTACTTTCTACACAACAACAGATTGTGGACGGAAAGAAAGGTTGATCTAAAATGCAAGTTCACAGATTTTTATTAAATTCATTTTACAGGAGCTTATAATGCTAGATAAAGTTTCATCTTTCCACGAGAGAGTCTTCATGAAATAAAACTAGGGAGCAAACATTCGTCCAAAAATTACTAAAGACACTGCTTTGAGCATTGACTGGCAACCTTGCCATATGTTGAGCACCACGAACTCTTAAGTTCAATCTAAAAATATTTCCAAACAATACTAAAGACACTACTTCGTAAGAAATATAACTTGCAAGAAAAGACAAGTGATACCAAAAACGGCATACTGAAACTAGATCTCACAACTTGTAAGTAGATTGTTTTCTGGTTTCTATATTTGAGCATCACAAGTAGTTACCCATGGAAACTATATGTTGCAGCTCCCCCTGTTCCCAGATTTTCTGTATATTCCAACAAACAATCTAAACTTTTGATGCCTTTCATATGAAGCTAATACAGAATACCAACAATAACAAAGATGTCTAAACAACGAAATCAAATATTTGCCGACTTCAGAAAATCTACGCAAATTGCAAACTTTAGCCTAACGTTATGTGGTTACCTCACTTCTTCAATAATTCAGATCAGGTGAATTGCTCAAAGTATGAAGGACTTCTGCTAACATTTTCTAGGACTTTGGATTACAACACTAAATGTAAAGACGGGTTTCCATTGTTTGTATACACTATGTTGCAACTTGCAAGAAGTTTGACCTTTTTCTTTTTGTTTCACTAAGGATTTATAGGTACATGTAAAATCCATATTATATATAGTTCACAGATTGAGAGTACTTCAAACATCACACATTTATCACGATGGGAGATAAGAAAGCTTACCGAGAGGCGATCGCCTTTGTGGTGTTTACTTTTGTGCTTATCTTTTGTCTTCTTTTCTGAGGCACAATACAATGTCAATGTGATAAGTAAAAGAACCTCATCCTCAATAGGCTTAAAATTTACCATATGGTAAGTCAAATAATGCACTTTCATGTAGTTAATCTCCTCGGTTTATTTTTACTTCTCCAATGTCAAAAAAAACTCGATCAAACACAGGATGTGCCCGAAATCCTAACAATGCCATTACACTAATTCGAACGCAACTTGTAGTAAATAGTAAGCCTGGGCGTGTCTGGTAAAACCATACCAATTCCGATATACCATTACACTAATTGGACTGCAGTACCATAATTTCTATCACAATTTAACCATTAGGCCTGTATACAATAGCAGCTTGATGTCAGAAGAAAGTGAATGCACTCACAGCCATATGTGTATCCCCAAAAATTCGATTTAACAAGTATTGCAAAGTTCGATTAAACGAAGTAAAATCCATCTTAAACTAGTGTGAGACTCAGACTCGCATCGATATACCCTTATCGGAACGGTGTTTTGGGTGCTTATGAGATTTTTTCTTGTCCTTTGACTTGTCCTTTTTATCACTCCTCCTGCTCTTCTTGTCCTCATCTTCTCCTGTTCTCTGCCTCTTGCCTCTTCCCTCATCTGTAAAAAACAAAGACCGAATTCAATAAAACCCCCATTATTAATATATATATATGTGTGTGTGTGTGTGTGTGTATCTGAGGAACAAATTACACACATTTTCAAGCAAACCCAGGAAAAATAAAACTTGTTTGGTTGCTGAGAAAATGTTGGAGAAAGATAGAAAAATCAAAAGTTCGATGCTTTCCCAACGGGAAAAGACGAAGTCTGCCATGAACCGAGAATCACAAAGGCTATGAAATTGAACAAATCGGAGGGGTGGGAGAGAGAGAGAGAGAGAGAGAGAGAAGGGAAAGAGGAGATTAGAGTACCTTCGGAAGATGAAGAGGGGCTCCTTTTCCTACTCTTCTTCTTCTCCTCGGATTTCCGGTCGCTTCCCATTTGAATTGCAGAGAGAATTACAGAGACAGAGCGAGAGAGAGACGCGACCTAGGGAGGGGAAACCCTGCCTTACTCGGGTCGGAAAACCGTCTCCTGAACCTTGGGCCCAAGATCGTAGACCGGCCCATGATATCCAGAAAAAGCCTAGCCTACTCATCAAAGCATTTTTTTACACATTATTTAACAAATTTACTCTCAAAACCAACAATTGGGTTCGTTTAGAAGTGTTTTAAAGGTTTGAAAGTTCTTTCGGTAATATTTTTGGAATTAATCCTGAGTAAAAATGAACATAAAACCTGAAAAATCACCTAAAGTGCTTACTGAAATAAGTCCAAAACTGATGTTTCTTGCAAAAGCACTTCAAATGCTTTTGTAATCCAAACATATTTCTCTAAAAACATTTTGTCATTTAAAAACATTTCCAAACAAACTCAATTGTTAAATTTGAGAGGTAAATTTATTGAATAATAAGAAAACTTCTCCCCCTATGGGCCAAAGCATTAAAAAGCGTAACAAGGAAAACTATTAGGCGCCTCAGTTTTGAATTTTCTAGATCAAACATCCATGCCTTTTAATGATTTGATTAAACTTTTTTTTATCATAATTTTGGTGCTATATGCCCATTATATTGTAACAAATTTCCTATAATTTAGCCTTTTGATTACACTCTCCTCCATTAGAGATAATTGTAAAAAAAAAAGTTGGTTAGATTCAATTTATTTTCACAATAATGCTACAATTTAGCAATAATTATCTACGATTTAAGATATTTTTTTTTTCCAAAATAGTTTAAAATATTTTTAAATCCCCCAAAATCAAACGTACCAAAATGAGTTTTTCTTTTAGTACGTTAAGAGAAAATAGGATTGAGAATACTATAAACGTACCAATACAAAATGTGTTCAAAATAAAACGTACCAAAATAAAAATAATGTACCAATATTAACAATATGTATCAAATCAAACGTACCAATTAATGATTTTAGTAAATTCAAACGTACCCGCAGATAATATATACGTAATGTATTGTACCTAATAATAATTCGTCAACAACTATACTTAAAAAACAGCAAAAAAAATATAATTTCACAAAAACATTGAAAAAATACACAGAGCTTATATGTTGATCACCAACTATTTGAAAAAGAAAAAACCATTTGGAAAAAAAATAATATCAAATGTTTGCATACCCAAAAATAAAAAAACTGTGATCGAAAAAACATATTTGGAAGAAGGGAAAATATAGTTTAATTACTAATATCTCCACTAAATAAGGAAAAGTGCATTGTGCAGATAAAAGGATAAATTCAAAAATTATTTTAATTTAAAAAAAATAGAGGTAACTATTGGTCAAAGCACTTTAATCAAATTTTAAAAAAGTACAAATGTTTAATCTAAATGATATATAAAAACTGTAGGGGATTCTAATTTTCCCATAAATTTATTACACTTCTACAAGCATCACTCACAAATTATACGACTCATCTGAAACAAGAAAAAAAATTGGTGTAGAGTTGTACACAATTCTGACTGACTTAGCTATGTCCATTTATGCAATGGGTGTTTTTAGATAAAACCCAAATGTGACTTGTCTCGTGCTTACTTCCTTATACCATTTTTTTTTTATTTCAGTTAAACAACTGGGGCTAAAAAGCTTTTGATAAAATAGAGAATTATAAAATAATGTCTAAACGAGAGAGCTTAGGAATTGCTTACAAGATGAAGGACCTTGCTAAAAAATAGTAAATTATTAAACTCTAAACTCCTTAAAAAAATGCAAATGTGGCTTTAAAAGAAAGAAAACTAATGAAAGAGATTGAAAACTTTGAGTTTTGACGATAAGGACAAAATAAATTGTAAGATCCCACATCGTCCAGGGGAGTGATTCTTATATGTATATTCTCATCCCTACCTAGCATGAGGCCTTTTGGAAGCGGCTTCGAGTTCCATCGGAACTCCGAAGTTAAGCAAGTAGCGCGTAAGAGCAATCCCATGATGGATGACCCACTGAGAAGTTCTCTTGTGAGTTCCCATAAACAAAATCGTGAGGGTGTAGTCGGGACCCAAAACGGACAATATCATGTTACAGTGGTAGAGCGGGCCTAGGATGTGGTAGACCCCGGGCCAGGATGTGACATAAATAGTAAAGTGAATAGTACCAGGATTGACTTTTTAGTGTAAAAATATGATTTTTTGTTAAAGGGAACAGTACCAGAAACTTTTCGTTAAAAATCCCTTAAAAGAACTATCCCTGCAATTCCCGTAAGTACGAGGGCCAAATTGAAAATATGCTAAAGGGGCCCACCCCAACTAAACTAACCAACTATCCTTGTCTTTAAAAGGGGCCCACCCCAAACGGAAACCTCATTCAGTTGGGCATTTCCCGCTTCTATTCTCTCACTACATATAGATTTCAGAGTCGGTAGAGCGAGAGAGAGAGAGAGAGAGAGAGAGAGGAGCGAGAGAGCAAGAAAGAAGATGACGATGAGCATAATGAGAGGGTTCGTCGTCGCTATGGTGGTGATCTTCTCTGTGCTGCTGTCCCTGAACAACCCGAGAGGCGAATCGGAGAGAGCCTTTCTCTCCGCCTCCTCCTCCGCCCAAGAACCACTGGTCAATCTGGTTTCTCTGGCTTCTTCCGATGGCGGCCAAGATTTCGTCACAGAGGAGATGAGTGATGGAGTTCAATCGGATCTTGAATACGATTTCTACCGCGAGACTTGCCCAGAAGCTGAGACCATTGTGAGGTCGACGATGGCGCAGATTTACTCCCAGCAGAAGAATGTCTCTGCTCAGCTGCTGCGCCTCTTCTTCCATGACTGCTTCATTCAGGTATATCCCCAGCCCCAAGATTCTTTTTTTTCTTCATCTTTGTGGCTATTTCTCATATGGGTTTTGTTCTGATTGCTCTGCCTTTAATCTTGATGCTGCTTTTGTTCATCTTTGGGGGTTTTTCTCAATGGAGTTTCTTCCAAATTCTAATCTTGCTCTGGGTTCTCTGACTCTCTTCATTTGTGTGGGTTTTTCTCGACGGTTTTTGTTTTGATTGTTCTGGGTTTTCTGGTTTTCTGGTTTTAGTTTTGATTTCTTCTTCCCTGTGGTTTTTCACAAATGGGTTTTGATTGCTGTGCTGTGGGATTTCTTCCTTAAATCGTGACATATCTTCATCCGGGTTGATTGTAACCTGTGAATCTTGAACTATAAGGTGTATGATTTATCTTACGTGATATTTATGAGTGTTTCTTAGTCTTATTTGGTTACTGGATTCTATGTATTGAATTTTGAAGAGTTTTTCAATCGGATGTCGTAGTTTCCTTTTGTCTGGTTACTGCTTTATACGATCAATGCTGGTTTAAATCGGTGAAATGGGATGTTTTCTGCTTGAAAATTGTTAACTTAAAACTGTTATTCATGCTTGACTATTCCGGTTGGGTGAACCTAAACGTTTTTTTGTATTATGCTCCGAAACCATGCCTGTGAACATGAACCTTTTATTGTATTATGCTTCCGAAACCATTCCTGTGACTTTTATTCTGAATCTTGTGGATTTTCTAATTCCATATGTGATTCTTAATGTTGTTGTGGGGTTTTTGAATCAGGGCTGTGATGCTTCAGTCCTCTTGGATGACAGCAATGGGAATAAAAACCATTCCATAGAGAAGCAGGCTGTGCCAAATAAGACCTTGAAGGGATTCGAAAATGTGGACCTGATCAAGGAGGTGCTCGAAAATGTTTGTCCAGGAGTGGTATCTTGTGCTGACATACTGGCTCTTGCCACCAGAGATGGCATTGTTCTGGTATGTTTTACTACACCATCTTCTCAGTCCTCTTGACATGTTTTACTGCTCTATCGCCACAGTAGTCTTGACATGTTTTATCGCTCCATTTTCTCAGTCTTGACATGTTTTACTGCTGGACCGTCACAGTACTTGCCTGCGTTTTTAGTTGTTTTGATTTTCATTGTTTGATTGATACTTGGTCAAGTATATGTGTATCTGAAACTGTTTCCAAGGCAAAACTTTCCAATTAGAGAACCAAAATACAAGAGAGAAATCATAAACCAAAACTATCACACCATCAATTATTGATTTGATATTTGGTGCTTTCAGTTGTGCATACTGTTGTGTTAAACTTTAAGGTTTTAAACTGTCTCTACATTTTGCCGGTGTTCCTCAGTTACTAAGTGTAAAATTTACTTTGCGCGTCCATAATAATTTGATTGTTTGCTTGTTTCAGTATTCCACAACTGCACTTTTAGCTGTCTTCTTCTTTGATGCTGATGTGTTTCTCATATCTGAAATGGTAGGCTGATGGCCCCTTTTATCCGGTGTTCACTGGTAGAAGAGATAGCACCATGTCCTACCATGATGAAGCATTGGCTGAAATTCCTAAACCTGATGATAACATCACTCAGACACTTCATCTGTTCTCGGTGAGAGGATTTAGCGACCGAGAAACTGTCAGTCTTCTAGGTACGTACTCAAAAAGCTGGTCTGTTCTTTAGTTCTTGTTCTATGGAATTGAAATGGATGAGAAGTCTAATGTTTGATTTTTTTTTTTTTTTTCACATCTATAGGAGCGCACAACATTGGAAAGATTGGATGTGAGTTCATTCAGGCCCGTCTTAACAACTTTAAGGGCACGGGCAAACCAGACCCCACTGTTTCTCCTAGTTTCCTGAAGGAGATGAGATTTGTCTGCGATGACAATGGAACAAGGAGCAGCCAGAAGTCACCTGCACCAGGGCCAACAAGGGGATTGATGAGGGAGAGGTCGTCGGGACTGAGGGGGATGCCATACTTCCAGCAGTTGTCTTCATCCGTACCATCTGGGAGAGGCTTTGACACTCACTATTACCAGAGCTTATTGAAGGGCAGAGGACTCCTCTTTGCTGATCAGCAACTGATGGCAAATGAGAGGACTGCAAGGTTGGTCAGAGCTTATGCATCCGATGACGGATCAACCTTCCGGATGGACTTTGCCAGGGCTATGATGAAGATGTCAAAGCTAAAGGCGGCCAACGGATCTCCAGGTCAGGTCAGGGTGGACTGCTCTTTGCCACTGCAGACTTCTTAAACTGCACGCGCTGTGGCATGGAATCTGTTTTGTCTTGAAGAGTAATTTTTACCCCATCTGGTGTTGGTTGTACAGTTCTGATTAGCCTTCCATATTGATTGGTATCTTGTTTCTTTTCATCAGAGAAACTATGTCTAGACTAGTTTTACCGTCGTTATTCATATATAACCATCGGAATCACCGGAGCAGCAACATTCGAGATTTCTTGGAGCTTCTCTTTTGATTCATTTTATAAATTGAGAAGCTCCACAAAACCTCGAGTGCAGCTGCTCCATAAGAGTGGGGCCGCGCCCTGAACCATCGAAAGGAGAGACAGAACGACGTATACGTGCATAAAAAGGTTTTTACTTTGTTAATTGGGATTAATTCCGGCAAGGAATGTGATTGCTTTCCTGCATGCCGTAGGATGTAAATATATATTCAAACAGTAACCTGCGAATGTTAAATTTGTACATGAACTATGATAACGTGAATTTTCTAACTGTACATTTGGTTAATAAAAACCAGAGAGTGCAGTTTCTTGAAAACTATTTCTACAGAACTGAAGTCAATATCGAAACCGTAACTCTTCCCTCCATACTGCACGTAAAGATACTCTTTCGGAGACGAGGGTGGGGGCAGAATTTGGGAGATTGCCGGTATATCGGACGTGGGGGGTGGAGGCATATCTTTTTTCTTCATAGAGTAGTAAACGTCAGCTAGAAGAAGCCAAATGAGATCAGCGTCGACGGATGCAAGGCCTTGAAGGGCATTTATGGATGCATCACGAAGACCAACCACGCCACTACAAGCTATCCCTACCACAAGACCACTGACCTTCTTGAGGACAACTTCCAATGCTGAAGCACTCCTTTCGTTTCGGGACAATTCAGCAACCATGTTGAGAACTGCAACCTGTACTTTCAGATTAGAAGTTTCTGCCATGGACTCCTCTGAAGAACTGGAAGTGCTTCAAAGGAAGTAGTTTCTTTTTTCTTTTTCAATGGACTCCAGGGAGAAGAACTGCGTAAAGTTTGGAAGCTTAAAAGAAACTCCTCCACAAATTTGGACTTAAGAGTCAGCAGAGGGTTCTTTCTCTTTCAAAGGCAATTGGCTTTACGCTCATGAAACGAAAATTTTCTTTGGTGAAGGAGCTTTTCATCAACAAGCCATCAGCCGCAAGCGTCTAACTCAAAAAAGAACGAAGCCTCCTAGCAAGTAATGAGCGATACGCTAAAAGGACAGAGGCACATACCTTTGTTTCAAGGGGAAGAGGCCACGGCACCTCATGAGGTTCTATATTTGAAAGGCGCCAGAAAGTATAATTTTCCCAATACAGCAAGCAAGGTCTCATCAGACCCTTCATCAGGCAGTCCAGGTCTGAACAAGCATGATATACGAAGGCCTTGGACTTCTTCCAATGCTGCTTAAATAGTAGCTTTCTAAGTCTATCACTGGCAAATTGACCCCAAGGAAATCGAGAAACACTGAATTGATAATCCACATATTCTCAATACAAATGATATTGCTCTATAATCAAATCCATCCTTTTGGATCGTCCTTACATGCATCTTTTATTAGCAGGAAAGGAGGTAAGTTTACATTGGACCCTGCGAAAATAACTCTAAATTTTCACAGCTAGAGCAAACTAAATACAAGCTTTGGAAAATGTTCTCCGGCTTTTTGATCAATATCCCTCATCAGCTCTGCCTGGCAAGCCTCACGCTCCCACCGCCTAAAGAATAAGAATAAATGGAAAGGTTTTTCTTTAATCACTTAGAATGGGCTTTATCATACAGCTCTTCCGCCTATGGTAAGTAGGGGACAAGTCGTCAGCGTGCACAGCACGTCGAATCTTATGAAATGAATCCAGAACAAAATCGCGCTAAAGCTAGGGGCGTCACCGAAGTGGGCGCGCTGCCCCAGAGCACAGTGATAAGTGAGCAAGGGTCGCTTATCCCATCTCACCCGGATGGTGTTAAATGAGCAAGGGGCCATAGAAACTCTTTTCGAACGACTCCACTCAAAGTTGTTTAGCATATAGCTCCTATCAACTTTACCCGGGAACACATAAAAGAAGTACTTGATCCTATTAGAGCGAAGAGCTAAGACAGAGGGTAGAGTTCAAAGAAAGCAAAATGCGTTAGAAACGTGGAATATAGGAACCTTAACGGAAAAATTATGGAAATAGTGGATTATGGTGAGGAGAAGGAAATAATATTCATTGCCTAAGAAACTAAGTGGGTTGTAAGACTAGAAAACTCAGGGTTAAACTTTTGGTATTCGGGCACAAAATAGAGAGAAACGGTGTTGGCATCATCGGGACAAGACCTTTGGTACAAGATGTTTAGATGTCAAGAGGGGTAGGAATAGAATCATGGCAATCAATTGAATAGGACAAAGAACTTCATCAATTGATTAGTGCGTACGCAAGGTAGGGTTGATACGAGTTCGATAGGAAAATTTTGGAAGATCTTGAAACTTGGTGCAAGGAATTGCTCAGACGGAGAATTATTATATAGAGGAGATTTTAAAATGGAACACGTGGGCAGGGAGACACAACTATGGAGGTTTTCATGGTGGTCATGGTTTGGGGAGAGAACGAGGATGGGAAGATCTTGGATTTTGCAATGGCATATGATCTCTTCTTAGCCAACACCTTTTTTAAGAAGAGAGAAGAACATTGTGATCACTTACAAGATTGGGTCGTCAAAAAAACAAAAGGATTTCTCTAGAGGAAAGGGATCGTATAAAGCTTGTAAGTAATTGCAACAGGAGAAGAGCGTGGCTAATAACATGCTTGTGGTGGTGATGGATGTACATATCAAAAGAGTAAACAAAAGAACAAGACTGGAAGTGCCCAAGGACTAGATGGAATCTAAAAGAAAAAAAAAAGCCATTTTCAAAGAGAAGGTAATCACCAATGTGTGTGGGATAGAGAGGGGGAAGCTAGCCAATGTGGGATCCATGCTAGTTTTTATCCGAAACAGTAGCAAAAGAAGTATTAGGAGAGTCCAAGGGCTTTGCCCCACACCAAAAAGGAATCTTGGTGGTGGAATGAATGGAGGTACAAACGAAGGTGAAGGCTAAGAAGGAATGTTTGTAAAGCCTTAACAAGGAGAGACGATGAAAATGGTGAAAGGTATAGAAAAGCGAAGCAAGTAGGCGAAGAAAGCTGTCAGAGAAAGTAGCGCGCTTACGATATATGTATAAACGACTAGAACCAGAAGAGAGTTTGGATATCTATAAACTTCTTAGCAATGGAAAAAGACAAGGGACCTAAACCAAGAGGCATCAAGGATGAGGATGAAAGGTCTTGCTCAGAGAACGCAGTTAAAGACAGATGAGAGGTTATTTTAATCTTTTCAATGAAGGACATGAAATGATGCTTCTTTAGGGATTGAGTAACTCAGAAGAGTGTAGAAACTACTCTTTTATCGTCGAATCCGGAAGAAGAAGTGGTTGTAGCTTTGAAGAAGATGAAAATAAAAAAGCAATAGGCTCAGACGATATATACCATCGAAGTGTGGAATTTTGGGAGAGAAGTTATAATGGCTCACTGAATTTTGATTTTGAAAACGAAGAAGATGCCAAATGAGTGGCGAACGAGCACTTTGGTGCCTATCTACAAGAATAAGGGCGACGTACAAAATTGCATGAACTATAGGGGTATTAAGCTAATGAGTCATACAATGAAGCTCTGGGAGAGAGTCATTGAGCATAGATTGAGGCAAGAGACACGAGTTTCGGACAACCAATTCGGGTTCATGCCAGGGCGCTCAACCATGGAGGCAATATATCTCTTACGAAGATTGATGGAAAGATATAGAGATGGGAAAAAGGATTTACACATGGTCTTTATAGATTTGGAAAAAGCGTATGATAGGGTCCCAAGAGACATTCTCTGGAGGATTTTAGAGAAGAAAGGAGTACGAGTAGCATATATCCAAGCTATAAAGGATATGTATGAAGGAGCAAAGACTGCCGTAAGAACTCATGAAGGACAAACCGAAAGCTTTCCCATAACTGTAGGATTACATCAAGGCTCATCCTTAAGTCCTTACCTTTTTGCGTTGGTAATGGATGAGTTAACAGGACATATTCAAGATGATATCCCTTGGTGTATGCTTTTCGCAGACGATATAGTGTTGATAGATGAAACTCAGGAAGGGGTAAATGCAAAGCTTAACCTTTGGAGAGAAGTGTTGGAATCTAAAGGTCTTCGCCTAAGCCGATCAAAGACAGAATATATGGAGTGCAAGTTCAGTGCAAATGGAGGTCAAAACGAGTTAGGGGTGAGGATCGGAGATCAAGAAATACCAAAGAGCGACCGTTTTCGTTACCTAGGATCTATCTTGCAAAAGAACGGAGAATTAGATGGAGATCTCAACCATAGAATACAAGCTGGATGGATGAAGTGGAAGAGTGCATCCGGCGTGTTGTGTGACCGCCGTATGCCACTGAAGCTCAAGGGAAAATTTTATAGGACGGCAATAAGGCCGGCGATGCTGTATGGCACAGAATGTTGGGCGGTGAAACATCAACACGTACACAAAATGGGTGTAGCGGAGATGAGGATGCTTCGTTGGATGTGTGGGCACACGAGAAAGGATAAGATTAGGAATGAGGATATCCGGGGTAAAGTAGGAGTAGCCGAAATTGAAGGAAAGATGAGAGAAAATCGGTTACGGTGGTTTGGACATGTGCAAAGAAGGCCTACTGACGCTCCGATTAGAAGATGCGACTATGGGACAGAGGTTCAGGGCCGAAGGGGTAGAGGAAGACCTAGGAAAACTTTGGAAGAAACTCTAAGAAAAGACTTAGAGTACTTGGATCTAACGAAGGACATGACACAGGATCGAGCACAATGGCGTTCTAAGATTCATATAGCCGATCCCACTCAGTGACTTGGATTTTCCAAGTCTCCAACCGAGAAGTTTTCCTCACTCGGGAAATTAAGGGAACACTACCCCAACCTACATGCTCCACTCAGAAAGCTTCAACATACAAGCTTCAACAAAAGAAAATTCAAAGAACTTAGCGAAGAAGGCTTTGGTGTATTTAACACAATACGTTGAAATGAAGGAAAAACTTATTTATTGATATCCCCGATAAGCTACAAATATGTACATATACATGAGTCAAAATAAACACACAAGAGGGAGCCTTCACAAAGGTTGCTTAGGAGAAGTCTCAGCAGTCGGTAGAGCCCCAGAAAGAGAAGGCATCGGAGGGGGATCATTTAGAGCCTCAGTACTGGACAGAACCCTAGAAGGAGGAGGCATCAGAGGTTGATCATTTGGAGCTTCATTACGCGGTACAGCCCCAGAAGACGAAGGCAATAAATGCCTTTGGAACAAACCCACAAATCTCTGATGATCAAGTAAAACCTGACCATCAGTTTCCTTCATCTGGTCAAGCTTCCTCTTCATGTTTGTAGCATAGTCATGTGCGAGCCGGTGCAACTGTTTATTCTCATGCTTGAGCCCTCTAATCTCCTGTTTGAGACTCATCACTTCAGCCGCCAATGATTCAACTTGGCGGGTTCGAGCAAATAGGCGTTGGGCCATATTCGACACCAGAACCTGCACACTGAACACTGAGAGCCAGCGAATCCTTAACAGCTAACTCATCAGACCGTTTGGAAAGTAGTCTGTTATCTTTGGGAGTGAGAAGGTTCCTGGCCACCACCGCAGCGGTCATATCATTCTTCATCACGGAATCCCCAACGGTAAGAGGACCAGTAGGGGAGACGAAGGATGGGCGCCATATGTTGTCTGGAGAAGGCGGGGCTGCCTCTTCAACAAGGTTCAAGTCAAAACGACGGTCGGAGGGGCCAGACATTTTCAAAGGTGTTGAAGAGAGAAGAGGTCGACAAATATCAAGATCTTAGAAGTGCAAGAATGAAGCTTCTACTGGTGGAGATTCAAGTGTGCTTTGGAACTTAATGCCAGCCCCTATAAAAATCTGCACTCGACGGAGCTTCAGAAATCGAAGAGGCGCCTGCTCAGAAAAGGAGGCGTTTGCTTTCTCTCAAAAGCTGGGCTTTGCTGCTGGGCTGCTTAGAGATCACGAGGGTTGATCTCAGAAATCGAAGAGGCATTTGCTTTCTCAAAAAGTTGGGCTGCTCAAAGACCACGAAGGCCGATCTCAGAAATCGAAGAGGCGCTCGCTTTCTCAAAAGCTGGGCTCCCCAGAGACCACGAGGGCCGATCTCAGAAATCGAAGAGGCACCTACTTTTCCAGCCTTGTCAGCACCTGTCACACGCACACTCAGCTTTGCGGAAATTATGGGCATTCTGTCGAAGACTTCTGGGGCAGTAGAAAACACATGAATCTTACTGTTCAATCACCCACTTCCCACACGCAACAATAGCTCATGGGTACCACAGATAACTTTGCCAAAGTTCTCTGCCAAAGTTGAGCACGTGAAGCTTGCAGCTCCCACTACATCGCTCTGACCAAGAAGGGTAAAAGAATAGCAAAGAAACAGCACCAACAAAGTTTAGACCCATAAATTTTGAAGGTCTAGCTACCATATTATTACCCACAAGGGTAAAGGAACAGTACCACTGCTGGATAATTGGAAAGTCCTTGTGTGTCAACCTCTGTGCTTCGTGGCAAGGTAGACTAGCAAACATGCCCAACCTTTACTCACATTCGAGAAAACACTCCCAATAAGATTGCTTGCTCCAAAATCGAAGAGGCACCGTCCTCCGAATCTCGAGAGCCAGACTCCCAACATGACTACTTTATTAAAAATCGAAGAGAGGGTAAAGGAACAGTACCATTGCTGGATAATTGGAAAGTCCCTGTGTGTCAACCTCTGTGCTTCGTGGCAAGGTAGACTAGCAAACATGCCCAACCTTTACTCACATTCGAGAAAACACTCCCAACAAGATTGCTTGCTCCAAAATCGAAGAGGCACCGCCCTCCGAATCTCGAGAGCCAGACTCCCAACATGATTACTTTCTCAAAAATCGAAGAGACACTGCTCCCCGAATCTTCGAGAGCCAGACCCCCAACATGATTGCTTTCTCAAAAATCGATGAGGCATCGTTCTCCGAATCAATCGAAGAGGCGCTCGCTTTCTCAAAAGCTGGGCTGCTCAGAGACCACGAGGGCCGATCTCAGAAATCGAAGAGGCACCTACTTTTCTAGCCTTGTCAGCACCTGTCACACGCACACTCAGCTTTGCAGAAATTATGGGCATTCTGTCGAAGACTTCTGGTGAAGTAGAAAGCACATGAATCTTACTGTTCAATTACCCACTTCCCACACGCAACAATAGCTCATGGGTACCACAGATAACTTTGCCAAAGTTCTCTGCCAAAGTTGAGCACGTGAAGCTTGCAGCTCCCACTACATCGCTCTGACCAAGAAAGGTAAAAGAATAGCAAAGAAACAGCACTAACAAAGTTTAGACACATAAATTTTGAAGGTCTAGCTACCATATTATTACCCACAAGGGTAAAGGAACAGTACCACTGCTGGATAATTGGAAAGTCCCTGTGTGTCAACCTCTGTGCTTCGTGGCAAGGTAGACTAGCAAACATGCCCAATCTTTACTCACATTCGCGAAAACACTCCCAACAAGATTGCTTGCTCCAAAATCGAAGAGGCACCGTCCTCCGAATCTCGAGAGCCAGACTCCCAACATGACTACTTTCTCAAAATCGAAGAGAGGGTAAAGGAACAGTACCATTGCTGGATAATTGGAAAGTCCCTGTGTGTCAACCTTTGTGCTTCGTGGCAAGGTAGACTAGCAAACATGCCCAACCTTTACTCACATTCGAGACAACACTCCCAACAAGATTGCTTGCTCCAAAATCGAAGAGGCACCGCCCTCCGAATCTCGAGAGCCAGACTCCCAACATGATTACTTCCTCAAAAATCGAAGAGACACTGCTCTCCGAATCTCGAGAGCCAGACCCCCAGCATGATTGCTTTCTCAAAAATCAAAGAGGCATCGTTCTCCGAATTTCGAGAGCCAGATACCACAGACCACTTTTTCAAAGTGCTCTGACAGAGTTAAAACATGTGAAACTGACAGCTCCCACTACCGTGCTATGACCAAGCAGGGTAAAGGAATAGCATTACTACTTGTTAGGGAGACTCCTATATATGTCGACCTCCATCCCCAACGGACAGGCAGACCTGCAAAAATGCTCAACCCTTCATCATATCTGAGAGGGCACTCCCAACGAAGCCTTTCGAAATATTCAGCTTTCTTTCCCCCCGATAATACCTCTGCAAACAAGCTATATTAGAGCAAGAATATCTCATATCATCAGGGTTAAAAGCAAGAGTATCCCATATCATGCTTTTTCCCTGTCTTTTCCTTTAGCCTTGTTTTTACCTGCAAGACAAGGAGAAAGAGAGCAATCAGTCAGCACTTGGAATCAAGCTTCCAGCCAGGAACTGACTGCCTGGAACCCCTTACCTGATTACTTACCTGGCATTGCTCTCGAGTACTCATCTTCAACATCTTATGTTTCCAGGGAAGATTCCGCATCTGCTTGAGGAACAGATAGGGCAAGTGCGAAGGATACAAGGAAGCATGTGGAGACAAGCGTAACAGCACACGTGGCGATACATCCATTACTCTGTCAAAAGCAAAAGTATCCCATATCAGCAGGGTGGAACGTACTCTAGATTTGATGGACTTGTTTTGACCCTCAAATTCTTCAGTCGGCCTTATACTTTGGAGGAAACCAGAAAACCCTCCAGCTCAGTTCAAGAATAAGCCTGTGGAAAGTTACTTCTTCAAAAGCAAAAGTATCTCATATCATCTCTTCTCATTTTTCTTCTCTTTATCCTTCATGCTGTGGCAAGATGGGGAGAAGGTGAACAATCAGTCGGAGCTCTGATTGCTTACCTTGTCTGTCACCTCTTTCAGCAGACCCCCTAGCTCGGCGACTTGGAGGACTCCTACTACATGGTTTGTATCGCGCTTGACCAAGCCTGAAACTACAAGTATGCTTCAAGTGAAATTGATACATTACCTTGTGCATCTCCACCAGTTAAAGATACCACCCCTGGATGGAGGAAAAGTACTTCCAGAGAAGATGCCACATCTACCTATGAGACAGATAAGGCAAGTCAAGACGACACCACACTCCGATACTTAGAAGTTTCGTGATTACGAGATCATTCTCCCACAATATTTCCTAATGTCATTTGTACTAAATCATTCACTTGTACTCACTAAAGGAGAGCTTGAACCTATGTACTTGTGTAAACCCTTCACAATTAATGAGAACTCTTCTATTCCGTGGACGTAGCCAATCTGGGTGAACCACGTACATCTTGTGTTTGCTTTCCTATCTCTATCCATTTATATACTTATCCACACTAATGACCGGAGCAATCTAGCGAAGATCATAAAAAGCGACCGTTTTCGCTACCTATGATCTATCTTGCAAGAGAACGGAGAATTAGATGGAGATCTCAACCATAGAATACGAGCTGCATGGATGAAGTGTAAGAGTGCATCCGGCGTGTTGTGTGACCGTCGTAGGCCACTGAAGCTCAAGGGAAAATTTTATAGGACGGCAATAAGGCCAGTGATGTTGTATGGCACAGAATGTTGGGCGGTGAAGCATCAACACGTACACAAAATGGGTGTAGCGGAGATGAGGATGCTTCGTGGGATGTGTGGGCACACGAGAAAGGATAAGATTGGGAATGAAGATATCCGAGGTAAAGTAGGAGTAGCCGAAATTGTAGGAAAGATGAGAGAAAATTGGCTCCGGTGATTTGGACATGTGCAAAGAAGGCCGACTGACGCTCCGGTTCGAAGATGTGACTACGGGACAGAGGTTCAGGGCCGAAGGGGTAGAGGAAGACCTAGGAAAACTTTGGAAGAGACTCTAAGAAAAGACTTAGAGTACTTGGATCTAACGGAGGACATGACACAAAACCGAGCGCAATGGCGTTCTAGGATTCATATAGCCGACCCCACTTAGTGGGAAAAGGCTTTGTTGTTGTTGTTGTTGTTTGTAATACAGCTCTTGGCGATTTTTTTCAACTAAGGAAAACCCACCAACCCACCAGGTATGCCATGAGAGGATTTTACTTGCTGAATGCGAAGGGATTCTAATGAAATCTTTAAGTAAAAGAAAACTAGACTATAGCATTCTTTACTACAGCTGTAATAGCTCCTGGTAAAACAGAAACCAAAAAGCCAAACAAATGGACTCACGATACAGTAACAGGAAACTCAGTATGGTACAAAAGATGACCTTTAAAAAGGAAATTGTCAATTCAGGGTGCTGATGCCTGCCAAGAATCTCGAGCTCCAAAGAAACAGAGCGCATCTGCATTACAGGACCACAGCATTAGCATTACAATTTAAAAACTAAACCCAACTCTCCATGTGAAGCCATAGAGGAGTTGACAGTATCTTGAAATTAATAAAAAAATCTAAACTGAGCATGCCAACAAGGATTATATTTTTCAGAAAATCAGAAGGGAAATATGATTTTTAAGATGTCCTAAGGATCTAGCAACATCGAGATCTGGTAGGCGTACCGGCTCCTCAAATAGAGGCAATATTTTATACGCGACTCCTATATAGGAAAGCATGGCAGCCAGCACATTTGGCACATGAGGGTTAATCTCCAAATGGCGTAATTGACGACATATAGAATCAATCACATAGTCTGCATTCGCTAGTACTAGGTGCCCAACCTACAGGACAGTTAAAACAGAAAACTCATAAGCCAAACTCCAAAAGTGGAACAGATTGAGATTCTGTATGCTGCACTCACTGTTGGAATGCCAGATACAGCAGCCAGGATATGTAATACACCATCAGAAGCACTTCTAACACGATAGTTTGAAGAAGTCAGATTTTCAAGCAACATATAAAGGGATTGATGAAGAAATCCACTAGAAGCAAAATCTCCTCCAAGGCAGATACTGATTATGCCTATTCCTTCAATGATAACCTGTAGAGGAAGACAAAGCTACCGTCAATATAATGTCCATCTGCTGAAACAAACTGATGCGAGAAAAACTAAATTATAACACAAAAGGTGGAGGAAAATGCATATTTCCTGGTGTAGCATAGCCGTGTCCTGAAATAAGTTTAGATTAATATCTTCAGCATCATAGTCAGGATGCATGGATAAAGATTTATGTTCTGTTGGAAGATCCCATACTTCATGAGATAAATACTCAAGTAAAATTCTACCAACACAATCAATCAAGTGACTCCTTAATTCCTCGTCCTTTAAAACATTCCAACTAGATTCAAAAAGCATGGAAGATTCAACTTTGAAAGGTTGACCATCAGCAAATCTTGCATCAGAGTCCTGAACCTCTTCCTTCTTTTTCTCGCTTTTTGAAACATCCTTGTGAAAATATCCGTCGCTTGATCTGACATACCGAATATCATCTCATTAAGAATAGACACTGCAGTGCTCGCCTGGCGCAGTAACTGTCCCGAACCAGTTCTATTATACCATGAGTGCCAACTCACTTCATTATAATCCTTCATACGAACCTCAGAAACTAATTTACGCAAGTAACCCACTGGTATGTCAGTGATGTGTGACAAATGCTGCCCATGTTTTTTATCTAGCAGAAAGGAAAAATAAAATAACCTGACATCAGTAACGAACAATAAGGACATAAGTTAAAATTTGAAACCAAACAATTAAATCTGAAGAGTTGAAATAACCTGTCATCAAGGATAAACCTACAAGTCTAAGAATTCCTGAAAGAGTTTGGTAAAGTTTCTGACTGCCAATGTATACGAACCAAGGAGGCATGCGCGGAAGCTTATAATTCTCATAATTCTTCTGATCATTATCTGATGTGTATGGTATATCTTTCTCCTGGATGCCTGCAATCTTTGAATTTCGGGGAGCAGCAGCCACTATTGTCAGGCACTCGCTGGTAATACTGGCTCCAGCATTCAACTCAGAAACAGAGTCAAGATATCCAACTGAGGATGGCCTTGTGGTAATAAGCTTATCAAGAGAACCAGCAAACACCGAGTTCTGACTCATACAAACAGAAAAATGGTCCAGGAAACGAGTAGCTGTTACCTAGACAGTGCCATATAAATAATGTCATAGGCAAGAATAAAGGACTTGAAACTGAAAAGGTAAGGACTCTAAGAACCCAACGCATTTTAGGTTCAACTATACAATGATAACAGACATTATGCCTGCTCTAGAACTTTCTATTTCTATATTCTCAACTCTTGAAATGCTGTATTACTATTATCTGGAAAAACTGTAGTTTGAGATACCAGATAATAATTTACGCAGGCATGCATTATTCATAAGTTAACAAAGAAGAAAGACGTGTGTATTCATAACTTTAATTTATCTTGTTTCTCCAGATTATATTGCTGAACAATTGGAAATAAGCAATCCCAGTCTTATCTTTTGTGTGTGTGTGTGTGTGTGTATGTAATAAGACTAGATGAAGAAACTTACAACTCAAAACATACATGATAAATTTACTAAGAAAATAACCACATACCGGAGACTGAAGGATGTGATCCACCACAAACTGAGGACCAGAATAGTACATTATTACAAGTAGCTGCTGAGCTTGTGAGACTGCAAGTGATCCCTCACTCCCAAGGACAACTTTTGGAAGCTTGTCAATGAGCCTGGTAACATAATCAAGTTCTTATAAGAAAAAAAAAGGTCGTACCCAGTGCACAAGGCTCCCGCTTTATGCAGGGTCTGGAAGAGGTGAATGTCGGCTAGCCTTACCCCCATTTATGGAGAGGCTGCTCCCAAGTCTCGAACCCGAGACCTACCGCTCATGGGCGAAGGCACTTGCCATCGCACCAAGTGCGACCTCTCAAGTTCTTATAAGAAAAATAAATAAAAAATCCCTTTCAAAAGGGCAGGACCAACCACCACCACTATTTTGTCTACTATCAAATGAAGACCTAACCTGCTAAACATCTGAGCAACATCATGTTCCAATTGATTATCTTCAATCGATGAGAATAAATTTTCAAGGAATTCTTGTGCACCTGCAGATACCTCTACAGAGTCATCAACAACCAAAGCACACAAGCACTCCTGCACGAGTGGTAGCCAGAGCATGCGTTAGCTTCAAGTGGCAGTTCAAGTTTAGCACTTGCAAATCAACCATATGATTTAATTTAGGACAACCAAGTAACAAAGAAAATGCCAAAACAAGATCTGGAAAATCTTTACTTCTGCTGGAGGAGAGGTTTTTTGTCCGGCACCTGGCAAAGCTTAATAGAGAGAGGGGTGGGACCAAAATTTGGGAAATTGTGGGCCAACAGCCATAATACAGAAGTGCTGAAAGACACTAAAATTAAAGGCAAATATCCAACCAGGGTGTTTGGTAAAAAGAAGGGGAGATTTGAGTCATTAGAAGCTCCAAAGTCCAAACCGAGATAATCAACAGCAGATGGCACTACCCATGGAAGATGTCACAACTGAAAATCAGCTGAGTCTCAGAAATTGCGGATCAAGAACTCTAATCCAAAATATGTGCAGGCTGACTTGGGTAAAAAGAAGACCACGTTCAAGGGTTTTCTTTAGAGATAAAACCATAACTTTATTATAGACACTCGTAGTTTTAAAATTGTGCAACGAAAATACATCAACTTGAGAAAATATGTAATGAGAGCCCAAAGGAATCAATAACACAAATAAATTCTGAACTAACCAGAAGCGTTTGTCTACTCTGCCTCAGCGTGTAACTGCACCTTGACAACAGTCCTCGTATGGAAGCCAGGAGACCTTGTCTCACTTTTTTTGCTGGATGAATGCAAATCTAACAAATAATTGAAGAATTTACCCATTGGATAAAAGCGCTAACATTTCAGGAGGTAAAGCTTGCATATAATGGATAATAATCAACTAGTAGCAAATGAAACGAAGAACGTACATGTCGAAAAGTTGCACCTAAGAGTTTATCCACATGCATTGAAGTTTTCTCAATCCAATCACTTGTACGATCCACGTGCAAAGATCCATCTCCTTTGCCAGAATCAGTTTTCTTCTCAGAGTTGGAAGTAGTTGTAATCACTTTATCACTCGAATCTTCCAATATCATTTTACTTTGACCATGCGCCTTAACAGGCAACTTACGAAGCTCATCCAGGAACGATTGTGTAGATTCATTCTTTTTTAAAGTTAAGTCAGAACTAAGAGTTATAGACATATCAAGTGTAGTTAAGTTAGCATCATCCTGCAGAACTATCATCAGATACTCAGCCAAAGCTCTAATTGCCTGATCAATTGCATCCCCACTTCCAGCAGCCCCACTGGTCATTGTTTTTGAGGCATGCAAAACTTTGGCAAATTGACTAACAACACCAGGTAAAAAGAAGGCTAACGCATCAGCAGTACCAACCTGTTGGAAAGAAAAATGTTGTGAATTATACTAACCAGAGGTACTGATTTGTATGCTTCCAATTTGCACTGAAGAAAATTCAGTATACCTAAAAACCTCAGATGGCTTATTTTGACTCTTACTATGTACATCATTTTGATTCATAAAGTGTCAAATAGTATTTAAGCTTTTCTCATGGTCAGAACATCGTGAAATGAAGAAGGGGGGAAGAAACAGAGACACCCAAATTCAAGTTTTATTAATGAATCAATGCCACAAAAGTTAGAACCTACGCTAATTCACAAGATTACCTTAGCAACAAGCATACGTAGGGTCATAAAGGCTTCAATCCGAAGCTTTGCACTACCTAGATGTCCTCGTGCAGCCTCATTATCTGCAGCCTTTTCATAAAACCACTAGCGAAATAAGTACCATAGGAAAAATTTAATTCTACAGAATGATCAACTACCACTCAAGACAACTTAACATACTTTGAGAAGAAGTGATAGCCAGTGTCCAACAGCTGCAGAAGCAGTTTGTGACTGTAGAAATGCAAGCAAACATTCATCTGGTTCTGAATCATACTTTGACGTTCTACTGAGTGGAGCTTTCAAGTCTCTGTTTTCTAAAAGCATAGGCACACCAAAGATTCGTTTACATGCACAAGACTCATCAGAGCATGGAAGTAAATTCAGAAGCAATTCCCTGAAACACTTAATAATTCCTTCACGAAACTCTTCTGACGCATCAGATGGAGAAAGCAAAGCCCCATAAGTCAACTTTTTCAGTACTACAACCAACTGCAAAAGGATATTATTGCACTTCAAATAAGAAGACTGCCTCCTAGGAATAAACTCACATGAACAACTAACCAATGCAACATACAAGCCAATTTTGAACTCATGGAAAAACCATGCCATTCCTTTGGTAGGACATATAATATTTGATTATGCATGAAAAGGCAGAATGAGAGAAAAAAGATTTGCATACATCAAAGTAATAAAATAAGAGAATTGCAGGAGAAATAACATTTATAACTAATTCACTCCCCACCAATTAATGAATTAAATCAGCAAGAATGTTTAGACAATGATGACAAGGATGCCAAAAGAACTTCTCCCCCGTAGAAAACCACTACCTTCAGATTTTCTGCATCCCCACTTTGAATGGGCATGTACATAGATTAAGTTTGGTTGAAAAGCAAAACCAATTATCAAATTAAATTTTGTCTAACAAAACAGTAATTAGTAATTCTACACGTACGAATTTTGGAAGAGGTCCAAGCAATTGTCAATCAAATCAGATTACCTGATCTACAGATCCTAAAAGACACTTCTTGAGCAGTTCTTCCAGGCACTGAAGCACACCTTCAGCCACACTATCACTCACTTTTTGGGGCATTTTTGGGACATTATGACTCACAAATTTTTCTTCAGAACCAAGCTTCTTTGAGGTTCTACAGTCAACAGCTGCATCCAATAGAAGCAGCAGCGGAAACAACGTGTAGCTGAAAGATGCACAACTTTGTCAAGAAAATAATGCTTAATGACAGATACATAATATATATTATACACACATTTTGGATTCTTTACAAGTTTCTACGACAAGTATAAGTGATGAAACCATGTTTCCCCGGGGTGTGGATCACTAGAAACTTTAATATTGAACCTACTATTCACCGTGGCGTTGAGCAATGGGACACAGAGTCTACTAATGGAAAAGTGATAGTTTTGCTCCCCCGCCACCTCAGGTCATATCATATCAATATAGTACTTAACCAATTTCAAAAACAATCTGAATAAGAATGATATCTCATGTACACTCTAACCATTAAATACACTTCAAAGACACCGAGACGAAATCATGTGCAATTGGGGTGGGAAATTTTGTTTCATTTAATACAAATCAACCCAATACCTTCCCCTCCACCAATTCTCCCACCCTGCCAGCATTGCACCAATCACCAAAACTTCAACACAGAGGCACTCACTCTATAATTCAAAATTATTAAGCCAACAAACTTGATCAAGTTACGAATACTTCACCCAATCCAACCCTCAAAGCTGACCCCAAGTGTTACGCATACAAGCATGCATAACTAGACCTATATGCATACATGTTCATATATGCAAGGATACACACACACACACATTATAAGTTATGCAAATTCAAGGAAAGGAAGCAAAATTTACAGAGAGGTTGAAGTGCTTACTCGAAGAAGGGCTGGAGAGCATGAGGCGGAGACTGGCGAAGGAAATGGAGCAGAGAAGAGAGAGCAGAGGAGTGCTTCTTAGGGTTTTGGAGAAGCTCCAGAAGCTCAAAGCAGTATGCTTTTAGCTGCGTAAACACTCTGCTTCTTTCATCGTCCTCTGGGAACGTTAGCTCGTCAATTTCCACCATTGCAGACGGCGGAGAGAGCGGCGGAGGAGTGGGAGTTGAGAACAGCCAAATTGAGAGACGATTCCAGCTGGAAGAGGGGTTGAACTGAAAACGGGTTGCCGACCGGTTTGAATATAATTGAGCCGTTTGTGTTGGGCCTTAATTGGGCTGACTCTTGGGTAACAATGGCTCTTTTATTTTTACTTTTTATGGGTCTTGAAGAAAACAATGGCTTGTGGAGGGTTATTTTAATTTCTTAAAGGGGCCGTAGTTAATTTTGATTTCCAAGAATTTTAATGGTTTTTTTAAGTGATAGATTTCTAAGATTATTTTTAAAGTAAAAGTCAAATTTTAAACATAGAATTTAATTTGAAGACTTATGAGACACATTAATCTTTTTTTAAATTTTGTTCTCCAACGATATGTCACATTTAAACCATTATTTAGTACATTACTCTTTTTTTTAGAGAAATACGATATTTGATATTCATTACAAACAAAGCAATACAAGGACAAATTGACAACAAACTGAGGATAGTGTGCATATTAGGCCTCGATAAAACCTTGCCGGAGAACCCGGTCTAAGGAAAAAGAGTGTCTCACACGACGAAATGAACTATCCCCAAATGTCAAAACAGAAACAAATTACAAGAAATCCTTAAGCAAATCAAGGGAATCTTCCACCCACTAAACATGCAGCGTATAACCATTGTTGTGCTGTGAGCGTTAACCGTGCGGCAAAGCATGCGACCATGGCTTCCATAGTCCTTTCCACACGTTGCAAAACCAACCTGAACCACCAGCTGAAAATGTCACCAACAAATTGGAGGTTACTCGACGCCAAACGCCGCATACAATCTTCAGACAGGCGCTCTCCTAAAGAACCTAAGGAGACCTAGGAACAAAAGGTAAGTATAAAAATTATGAAAATCATTTATTAATTACTAAAATAGATTTGAAGCTGCTGTCAAATTTGACAGCAACTTCCTCTACCGCCTTTCCATGTCATGCCACAGACGAATTGGCATTTCGGTTGGAAAACACTAGTGATGTCTTTTTTTACCACTATTGCTGATATGAAGTTTTTGACATCTCCTTTAAAAATGCTCGAAAAATTTTAACAGAGAATTCTCTATGAATTTTGACGGAATTCTATTATAAATTTATAGGATCTGCTATTCATCCAATACCATCATGCATGAACCATTCGGAATTGTTGCAAGAATGAATAGCGAATGCATAAAAACACTAACAATAAAAAACAGGGAAGTGATCTTTACAAAAAAAAATTCACTTGACCTTTTGCACACTTTTAATTATAATCATTGATTGTCTTTTAATTTATTCAATCTCACGACTAAAATAAGGGTGTGTACGTGGTAAGAAATGCATAAATCATTTCGTAAAGATAAACTTCTAATGTTGTTTCATTCGATCACGTAATATTGGCTCCTGAATTTATCACTTCCCTTTTTATCAGCTTTCCCAAATTAGTAGACTTAACTTGATTATTGGCTCCTTAATTTCTCACTTTCATTCGATCGCTTAATATTGTCCTTGCTAAAACTGGCGACCCACGTTCCCCAGTTATCCCCACCTCCTGCCATCTTTGTACCCACATCTTCTCCGCAAGCACGTCATCAGCGTTAGCTTAGTTTTTTAGTTTTTTTTTATGTTTTGTGTTTGTACCGCCTAGAGCGGGTTTGTGTTGCCTTGACAATCTGTGATGGCCTTGCTTTTTTGTGGTAGTTTTATGTGAGTGTCTCGGTGCTAAGGCTTGTCATGTCTATCGTTTTTTGTGTCGAATTTGCTATCACTACAAAAAAACTTGCTAAATACGACGCTAAAAACTCGTCGTGTAAAGTCATGAAAGCGTCGTTTATGCGTTTTAACGACGCTCATGCGACGCTTGTGATTGCGTCGCAACAAACCCGTGTCGCAAAAGTTTTCACAACTTATTGCGACGCATTTCAAGCGTCACGAAGTTATTTTACGACAGCTTTGCAACACAATAGTTAGCGTCGCAACTGCTTTGATGGTGGAATTAAACAAAATATTTGGGACATGTTTGACACGTCGTAAATGCTTTTATCCTTACAATTTTTTTGTTATAAATACAAAATGGTTGGAAATGATATTTGTTCAATGAAAGATTGGGTTGCAATTTATAATCTTATTCACAATTATCCTAAGTTCAAAAGTAAAATAATATATGAATCAAAGAATTGTGCCTTTAGAATTCCTAATAACATTGAAAGTACACCATCCGTATATCCCAATACATATAATCCTGCTAGAGTCAAATATAAATAATCTCGTCTCAAAAGTTATGAACATATTTTTTTTATTTATTTCAAATATGCTCCAACATAGTTCAAGAGTTTAATTATGATCAAGACTCTTCATCACAATCTCCATGCAAACCTGAAAAATAATAATTACACAACCATCAATAACATGTGTCAATTGAAAGCTTAATCTTTAGTATAATGTTTTCTTTACAAACCTTTTATGAAAGCAATTGTTTCTATGTTTCTGGGTCTAACTGAGGTTGCTGCTCATTACTCCCATATGTTTCTTGTAGATGGCTTGATATATTTGGAGCCTATATTTAACACCAATAGGACAAATAGAAATCAAAATTACTCAAATTTTCACACTAATTTATTCTAATAAATTGAAAAGAGAACAAAATCACATTCGAATGTATATACCTGTCCACTTCCGCTTGGTGTCGTGTTAACATGGAAACCAATATGAGTCATCACGAGATGGAGTTTCAAACTGACTTCACTATACTTGGATCGGAGATCTTCAATTTCAGATTCATGCTTAGCCTTAAGATCATCTATCTTAGTCTTATATTGTCTTTCTACCTTTTCTCGTATGGTGTCTTCATTAACATTGGAAGATCTTGAACTTTGATAAAATACTTGAGATGGAGTTCTGTTCCATACATGCGAACAGGTCCATGTGCATCAGGTCCCATAACTCTAGTAAACACCTCCTCTCGATAATCCTCGTCTTGCTCATGCTCTTCCCTTTCTTCCAAGCATTGATTAAATTGATTCTACAAAACATTACCCAACCAGTTCAAATGACCAAAAGATAAAAATAATGCACGATCCAACTAATTAAAACGATGTGAATATGCAAAGTTTTTACTTTGTGAATATGCAAAGATTTTACTTTTAGTGAAAAATATATAAACTAACTGATCAAACATATCATCCACAAAAGCTGATGGAATGTTATTCCCAATACCTTGTTCTGAATATAATGGTTGGTTTGTGTCTCCATGATGAATCCAATTTCTATAATTTGGCATAAACCCATCAACTATTATATGAGCTCTTGCTACTTCCCTTGTAACAAAGTACCAATTGTAACATTTTTTGCAAGGACAATAAATCCTTCTATGACCCTTGTTGTTATCAAATGCAAACTCCAAAAAACGTTCAAGCCCATAGTTAAATTGATCAAATGACCTATCATTTAAATCTATCCAACTCTTGTCCATACCTAATGTCATCCGAAAATAAAGAAACAACACATTATGTCATCTATTAAAAAAAGGTAGTTATGTTTAACAAGAAAAACAACAACAAATGTAGAAAAGAATACAAAGAAAGTAAGTAAAATTAATCAAAATTTTATTTAAAAGGTGGATAGAAAACATACCGAGCTAAGAATTAAGCACCCTTGATCTGATCTCTATAGTTAATCCAAAATATTTGAACTACAAGAGAAATGTCAAACACTAAGCAATATGAGATAGGTTGTCAATCCAAACTATTCCAAAAACAGTATTCTACTTTTTGTTTTTTCTACTTTAACACAAAAGAATATGCATTAACGCATGATAATGTGTGAGCTCGAAATAGGCGATACACATACAGAGTTATGTATCCTCTGAACTTTGGGCAACTTTGACTTTTGCATATATTACTTAGAGAAAAATATATCTAGAATTTCAAGGAGTGTCACAAATAAGAGATTACTCCAAAGTAAACTTTTAGTCAGCACAGAAAAAAACAATCCTACATCATCCACCTTACTTGTGCGAGGGCCTTCTCCAAGATCTTCCCAATCTATGGAAAAGCAACGCCTGTAAAAGATACACTCTAATCATTCACCATATTTATAAGGAAGAAGAAGAAGCGAAATATTGTTGCAAATGACAACAAAAATTACAAAAAGAAAAGAAAAACAAAAATTGGACAATATGTCCACGAATAAAAAATAAAGGCACATAGAAAATCAAGAAGCACAATCCCCCTAAAGATAAAGTATCTACAAAGACACCAAATATTTATCAACAAGCACAATCGCCATAAAAATCAATTACCATTTGCGTTGTAAACATAATAAGAAAACAGGGTTTGTTTTTAACTAAAATTTTCTGTTCGTGCTGTAAACATATTAAGAAAACCTGCGGCCCAAAACACAGGCGTTGTCCAGTCCAAATTAATAATTGGAAACGGAAACGGTTGCGGGAGAGAACTAAGCAAGATTTATGGAATCACTTAGCAATCAAAGGCGTGGGTTGGGGTTTAACAAGGTACTGAGGAAGATCATCAAACCGATTCTAAGAAGAATGGGTGGAAAAAAGAAAAACATCCCAATCCCAGATGCTAAAGACCCAGGTTTTGGAAGACATTTAGCAGATCTGTGCGCCTTTGACAGAAACCCTATAAATCACTTAGCAAGACTAATGAAATCAGAAAAGAAAGAAGATGGAGATGGTTGTAGTGGCTTACCAGAACTCCGATTGTGCTCCGTAATCTCCGATACAACTCCAAAATTTTTGATTGAATCTCTGAGAGAAAAAGGAAAAGGAAACGGAAATGGTTGAGGGAGATAACTAAGGCTGCGTTGGGAAAAAGAAAAAAGGAGCGTGCGAGCTCAAACCCTAATCGCCCAATTTGTTCCCGCTTAAATTCTATCCGTCGTTAGGGGCGTCGCAAACAATCTGTTTAAGACGACATATATTACTGTTTGCGACATTATTAGCGACGTTACTTATAGCAGTGTCGCAAATATTTTCGCGCTAACAAATACCGCGCTAATTTCCTTTTATTTGCGACGGCAATGTAATTTGACGCAAAAA